GCACAGGCCTTATAGTATAGTAACCAGTTCGGCACGCCCGCTCCCCCCTTTCTTTCATATCTTGTAGCAGTTTAAGTTTTGGCCTTTTGTGTTTCCAGAGGAAGTTTGCTGTTAGTCTATCCAAGTCCTTGAAATATTTAAAATTCAGTAGTATTGGGAGATTTGAAAATAGAAATAAAAGTTTAGGTAGGATCATCATTTTTATTGTTGATATTCTTCCCATAAATGAAATTTGTAGTTTGCTCCATTCCTCCAGATTCTCACCTTTCCTGTTTTAAATAGCCAGTTATATTGCAGCAACCCTGGGCTCTTAAAATAATAGTTGCAAGAGGAGTTCATTGGAAAGTGAACATCACAGAGTGGATACATTCTGTATGTTCTGAGTTGCAGTTGCTTGGGTTTATAGTTATGTGCCATAGTTTTTCCAAACAAACTAGACATTTAACTGGTGTATGATTGCATACATTGTATAATAATAAATAGACTGACAAAATAGTTTAAAAGTACATAACCTATTTATTTGAGCAGTAATGTACATACATGTGAGAGCTGGACCATAAAGAAAGCAGACCGCCGAAGAATTGATGCCTTTGAACTGTGGTGCTGGAGGGGGCTCTCGAGAGTCCCCTGGACTGCAAGGAGAACAAACCTATCAATTCTAAAGGAAATCAACCTTCAGTGCCCACTGGAAGGACAGATCCTGAAGCTGAGGCTCCAGTACTTTGGCCATCTGATGAGAAGACTCCTTGGAAAAAACCCTGATGTTAGGAAGGTGTGACGGCAAGAGGAGAAGGGGACGACCGAGGATGAGATGGCTGGACAGTGTCTGCGAAGCAACCAACATGAACCTGACACAACTCCGGGAGGCGGTAGAAGACAGGAGGGCCTGGCGTGCTCTGGTCCATGGGGTCACGAAGAGTCGGACACGACTAAACAACAACAATAATGTACATACATAGGACTGGAAGTATTTGTTAGTCCCATCTAAAGTAGGCTCATTGAACTAATAGCAGCTACATAAATGTTGGATACCTGGTCTGGTATAGGGGATAGAATGACAGATTAGGACTCAGAAAACCTGGATTTGAATACCTCTCCCCTCAGCCATGGAAACTCACTGGGAAAACCATATCTTAAATATCTCACTTACCTTGGAAGTTCCATTAGGGTCACTATAAATTGGTTCCAACTAGACGGCACAAAACCACAACACATAAGTGTTAACATGTTCTATTTATTCAGCAGGTTTACTCTAATCATGGCTGAGAATTGAATTTCACCCATGATTTTACATTTCGTTGTAAAAAATATCAATGCTTCATTTCTAGCCTTTGGGTTTTGTGAATATAAAGAACCAGAATCTACGTTACGTGCGCTCAGATTACTGCATGATCTCCAGATTGGAGAAAAGAAACTACTTGTGAAAGTTGATGCCAAGACAAAGGCTCAGCTGGATGAATGGAAGGCAAAGAAAAGGGCTTCCAATGGGGTAAGTATTTTCTGTATATTTATGTTAAAGGCTTAGTTTTAAAGTCCTTGCCTTAAACAAGGAAGCACAACTATTCAATTATAAACAATTGAATTAGTATTAAATGCACTTCATTTTGGTATTGGTTTTTTGGTTCTTTGTTCTGCTTTCATCAACCGTACTACTTTTCAGTACAAAAGTACAATGCTATTCCTTTGTCACTCGCTTCTAGTCAGGATTTTCAGTATAGCTTTCACAGTTCTCTAATGTGTAATACACTGCATCCTATATAGGAGTTTGTTGCCAGGTTTCTCTAGAGAGGAATGTAAGTGGAAGATCAGCAACTAAGGGCATTGGCTTTATTCAGAATATTTATATGCTGCCTTTCTCTCAAAGGATCCAAGGCGGCTTACAGCATTTAAAAGAAACAAAGTTAAACCCAAATAATAATTTTTTATAATACTTAAAGAAGCATTAAACTATCATAATGAAACTCATAGTAAGAACATTGTTAACAACGAAAGTACAGGATGATTTTGGCTTTGCTTGCCAATACTATCACCAGAGCCTCCCTAGAAGATTTTGACACATGAATTGGCGTGTATGGGGGAGGGGCTGTTCCTTTAAGTACCTGGATGTTTTAAGTGGCATAGGGTTTTAGAAATCAATACTAGTACCTTGATTTAGGGCTGAGTGTCATAGCATAAAAAAGTATAACGTTCTTAAAATAGGGGGGGAATGCCTCTTCCTTGCCACATAAGGTAATGGCCTGGCACAGCATTCTGCAGTAATTGCAACATCTGGATTGTTTTTAGGGATAACCTCATTTAAAGTGCATTGTAATACTCCAGTAGAAAGTAATTAGAGCATGAATTTCTGAGGCTAGCTACCTTGATCTGGGAATGGCTGCAGCCAGTGAACCAGCCAGAGCTGGACATAAGCACTTTGTGGTACTGAACACATCTGGGCTTTCGGTGACAAGAACCAAGAAGTGTTCTAAAAAGATACACTTACTCTCTTTGGGGAATCATGCTGCATCCACAACAGTTTGTCTACCTGGTAGCTGATTCTTTAAATATTTTATCCATGGCACCTGAGTTTGTCCAAGTTCATGGACAGGCATTGGTCCAGAACTTGAACATCTGATTCAGGTGGAAAGGAGAAATAAAGTTTAGTGTCATCCGTATATTGATTACAATGTATTCCATATGATTTCTCTACATTTTAGATAAGATCAGAGACAAAAGCATGTAGAAGAACTGGTGGGTATTTTTTAAACAGAAAAAATATATGAACTGAATAAATAAAATAGATGTACTATAACTGGGGAAATCACAAGGCAGATAATCGTCCTAGGAGGATGCATGCACTAGCAGATCAATCAAGAAATCATGCCAGCTCATACAGATGCATTGTATCAATTTTGGAAATAAGTTCCCAAGTTATTAATATGTCTATTAATATGCAATAATTGATAAGTCAGTTTATTTAAAAATGTTTAAGCTTCAATAGTTTAGATTTAAAATACATTTGGTAAGAAAACCCAAAGGGGGACATTTGGGAATATTTAATTTGGTGTAGCTTCAAAGGAGTGTGAGACTTAAGTTTAGTTGTATAGGAATTTTCATTGATGATTCCTCTTCACATTTTCTAACTGACTAGAGACAAAAGGGGAAGAAATGCTGTACAAAGAACAAGCGAAAAATGTATGGTCTTGGAACACTGCTGAGCATACTTTTTTCCTCAGACTAATGTAAGCAACCTTGCATAGTCTACAAGATGACTTGATTCTAGCATTTCCAAGAATCTGATTAAAGGTTTGTCCCATCTGTACATGAGACAGTATTGGAGCAAGAAAAAGATTAATCCACCCTTCTGGAAGAACAGAAATAATCTGGTGACTGAATTTTAACAAAGATGATGTTTCCAGATGATGCCGAAAGAACTTGTTCAGCAGTTGACAAGAATTGAATAAATATTTTATCTCTTGTGAATATTTCTTTGCTTGACAGACTAGTTGAAGGATGTATTTTAATGGGTCCAGATTAGGCTCAATTTAGTTACTGCTATGTTAACTATTCAGAGTTCAGGACTTACCCTTTTTAAATCTTTAGGAAGAATGTAAAGAAAGAATATTTTAGAATTTCTTATGAATTGTAGAATAGGGAAGAAAACTCAGTTTACCTTTACCTTGTTATTTACAGAGGTGTAGTTATTCCTTGATGCTATGCACAGATGGAGTGCTCTAAAAATCTAGCCAGGATTTGAGGCCCTTCATGTTGATACAAAGTATAAAATGCAGTTTTATTTTTAAAATATGGAGAAATGAAAGAGACAGATGTATGAATTTAGTCCACTCCCATCCATGACTAGCACCTCTGCTTTCCTTAATTCTTGTACTATCACCTAGTTGCCACCACCTTCTAGTCTTTGCAGGCTGTTCCTTCTTGATTTGGCAGCTTCTGTTCCAGCTGAAATCCTTTCCCTCCTCCTCCTGCCCCTGCTTCTTAGTTACTGCTGTAAATAAGTCTCTTTCCCTTTCCCCATTCTGTTCTTCCACCTGGCATTTGACTGGACACCTATCCTGGATTTTCAGGTGAGACTCCTTTTTGTTTTTTAAATAAATGGTTTAAAATGTAGCAACAGTTAAAGTCAAGACTTGAGAAAAAATATGTAATCAATTATCCTACCTTCACCACTACAGAGTATTTTTAAAGGAGTGGGAATACCTTTGAATTATAGTGAGGAATATCTGATAGCATGAAATTATTTTTAAAATTCATTTTATAATATTTAAGAGTGTAGCAGGACTTCAGGCTGACACTCAACTTGAGTTATCATCATCTCTAAATAAGAACACCAGTGATCTAACTTGCTGACTAAGGAGGAACCAGGAAATATTTACCATATTTGATTTTGTGGTGGTTGTGATATAATTGGAAATCACCTTGAATTGATAGAAAAAGTACACTAAAATGTTCTAGAGACCTAAATCTACTTATCCAGAGTCCATTAATCCAGTGGGTTTACTCTAAAAGGTACTAAAGAGTTGGATAAGCTGTAAATAACACATGATACTAACTAGATAGATGTTGGTTTCATGTTCCAGAATCTTACATGGAAAGCTCTTTGAAATTTGAAATTCAACATTTGTATGTAAGCATAATATGTGAAAATTCACAGATGGGTGAATTAGATGTATATAACAGCACGTTATTCACATGTACTGGTACATATTTTTAAGCCATGTGCAGAAATTTTTGTTTTTCCTTTTTGTTTTTGTTTTTGTTTTTTTGTTCAGGTATTTTTGTATGAGCTTGGTAACATGTGTTGTAATCCATAAGGTAGCCTTATGGAAAACACATGCTTTCTACCTCATTGAACTGTTTAGCTTGGTTATATTAAATATAATTTTTCCATGATTTATGGGTGAATTTTAAAAAGTGTAAATTTTTTCTGCTCTCATTAACTGAAAAACAATGAATCGATTTGACAGTATTGTTATGTAAATTATGGCTAGAAGCAAGATGTATTTTGTCAGTGTATAGCCTCTTGAGATAACAGATTGGACCACACCATAGGAACTATGGCCAGTGTAGTACTTATGTGCTATTCTTGCTCCTAATTTCAAAGCTTCAGAGGTCAGTGGGATTGCCTGGCAGATGCACAGTTATCCCAAGCACCTTCCCAGTTTCAAAATTGAGAGGAAGACTTGAGATTTATGTGTTAGCCATGTAGCAAGAGTACCAACAGGCAACTCCTCTCAAAGTTCTTGGCATTTCCTGTCCATGAAAACAAGTGGCACCTGATGTTGTGTGCTTCGAACTGGTAGATCCCTGATACATACTGTACAAAAATTTCTGTTCTAACCCTGTGGCTCATATATTGATTTAGGGTGGTGTTTTTTAAATTGTTTGGTAGCTTTGTGTACTTTGAGTAATTAAGTAAAATGCTTCTGTAACTACCCTGTCCTTTTTAGGGGAGGAGTGTGTATAGGCTTTCCATGTTTGAATTTCTAACATTCTTTTTTACTCCTAAATGAGCTCTTCTGCTCTACAATTGCATCTATTCTATGTCCACTACCTCTTTGCTCTATTTCCTGTTCTTTACTCTTATAATAATAGAGCAAACATGTAATTAAAGCCTCGTCATAAACATATTGCACTAAATGCTTCCTAAGGCCTCACTACATGTAACACAGTTACCTAGTAAATGTAAAGTAAACATTTTGGACATCGTTCTACCTTGTCTGATGTGCTTGACTTCAAGATTTGTGTTGTTTCTTAGAACTCCAGGCCAGAATCTACACCTGATGATGAAGAAGCCCTTGATGAAGAAGCAAAGAGAAGAGACCAGCTAATAAAAGGGGCTATTGAAGTGCTAATACGGGAATATTCCAGCGAGCTCAATGCCCCCTCCCAAGAGTCTGACTCTCATCCCAGGAGGAGGAGAAAGGAAAAGAAGGAGGACGTATGTGTTTTGATTTTGGACACAAACCGATTTACTTCCATCTCTCCTTACATAAGATCCAAACCTTGTGACAGTACTTTAGATCAAAGCATCTGATGAGAACATAAATCAACAAACCTTGAATTTAGTTTTCATGTTTCATACTAAAATTGAGTGAGTTCTAGATGTCAAACCTTATGGATGTTGTAGGTGTGTATACACAAGGGTTGCAGTGCCTAGACTACTTGGAGTTGCAGGTTTGATTCAGTTTTTTATCCCTTCTAAAATATTTGTATTGCAGTAACTACACATTATTTTTGAAACACCAAATATAGGGGTCCTGCCTGTATTGTCTGATCCTTTAAAAAACCCAAGTCACTAAGTAAGGTGTTACAGTGATGTAACAGCCACAGTTCAGCTAATTGCTAGCACCTTGAACTTGATTGCTCTTGTTTTAATGATGTTTGTACATATAAATACGGTATTTATCCTCAAGGGATGAATGCCATGCTGTTATAAAAATGTTTGTTACAGTAGGACTCCTGTATCCACGGGATCGGTACCCACTATTCCACTCATCCACAATCTGAAAATATTACAGATATTTTTAAAATTCCAGAAACACATGTTTTCACAATGTAGTTATCAGAACTGGCCACTAGAAGGATCTAGAGACTATGCAATGTATGGCATTTGTTTTTATCCACAGCTTTCAACATGGAGGGGGGCTTGGAACCGATCCCTGGTGGATATGGGAGTCCTATTGTGCTATTTGGTTGTTGGACCATTTTATTTCAATTTTTTTGAAATGTCACATTTGGCACAAGTTCCTATAATCTACCTTTTGTAGATGACCTTACTAATCACTGAGCTAAATATTTCTTTCCTGTCAAAAGAGAGAGCATAAGGTCCTATAACACCTACTTTGAAGGCACATCATGACTTTCAGTGGTTTGCTGTAACATCTGCCAGTCCCATCACAGCTAGATTTCAAAGGTGGAATTTGTTTTGGTACAATGCTTTATTTTCTCTTCTCTACTTTCCTGGTAGGAGGTAGAAAGATAATTAGCTATAGCTGCCAGTGAAATATTTGAATACCATTACAGGAAATAATCATTACTCATTCAGGGATTGAGTATGCAGTCCACCTGCCCCCGTTTTGGTCTCCAAGTACCCTGAGAAAGAAATCTTGAACTGTAGCTCTGCAAATTATTACCTAAATTTCATCCATGTTATGTATGGATTGTGATTATGTGTACAATCCAAAATCTTGCAGTGGTGCTGAGAAAGTTACTTTTTACAAGCCATTTTACAGATACTGTTTATTGAACTTCTTGCTTTATCAGTAGCTTAGAGTGATCAGGAGCATAGCTGTGGGGCATGATAAACTTTAAATTGTGTGAACTGTTGGAAAAAACTGTCAAACATCCTTTTTTATCCCTTGTGGAGGTGGAAATTGTTTTCTAGGGATGCAGGTGGGACATGAGTGTGATATTTCACCTTTTTTTTCTTAGGATGTGGGACTGAATAAGCACTGTGCATGCTTGGGGAGAAAAAGAAATTGGGGTGGGTGCCCATGAAAAGTGGGTTTTGAGGCATTGTTTGTCCACTTTGTCAATGCTTATAATTGCAGCTGGTTCCCTTACCTATTCTGTTTGTCTGAAAAGATAAAGGATCATGTGGGAAACTTGAGATTGTGGGGGGAAATGGCAAATGAAATCTGACTCTTGATTTCATATGTGGGGAACCTCGCTAATTTGCAGTAACTGTTGGGAACCCCCCTTTGAGATTATTCAATTTTGCGAATTAGCGAGTAAAAACAAAACTAGGTTTAAAATACCGCAAAAGGCACTGGCCACAAGCATAGTTTAGCTTGGAAGATTTCTTAGTATGCCAATATATTGCAATTATAAATGGAGATATTCCAGGGTGAGGTGGCACCCACTAAACCTTTGCTGAGAAGTAGATCAGTAAAAGGAGAATTAGCGAGGTTCTTCGGTAATTTTGTTGAGTCAGACCAAAGGTCACAGCAATATAATATTGCTTATTCTACAAACATACAGAACATTGTTTTTTTTTCAGAGTAGTGTGCAAACTATTTTTAAAAACAAAAAATCTCCGTGGATTTTTCCGCAGATTTTCAGCAGATTTCCAGTGGCCCCACTGATACCTTATCCACTCATCACCAAGGTTCGTTTACATTGTAGGTTTTGACAATGACTATGTTTACTGCTAGTTACCAGATTTGTGACTCGTGTCCATCTGATTTTTTTTTCATTCATTTAACATCAGATTGTGAGGCTTGGTACTGCAGAAGGCCTCTTGCGAGACTGGTTCAAAACATCTAACCTTCAGATTTTCTTTTAGTTCTCCTGTTCCTATAAAGATGGATTTTAATATTTTATCTTCTGTTCTTCTCCCCCTCCCCCTTCTTTCTTACAGGAGGATATAAATGCTATAGAAATGGAAGAAGATAAAAGGGACCTGATATCCCGAGAGATCAGTAAATTCAGAGATACACACATGGTAATAAACTTGTTTTTACAACTTACACTAAATTAGGTTTTTAAAAAGCCCAGTTTCCCTTTCCTTGCCCATTAGAAAACTTGCAAGAGCACAACCATACCACTTAATCATTTTTACAGTAGGCATAGTGCATATCTAAAATAGCAACAAGAACAAATTTCCAGTTAAGTGGTCTAATACTTTGTACTTGGATCATTTTTTATTTTCTAATATATCATGGTTTTCTCTCTGATACAGAAGTATACTTATATTAAAAATCACTCTTTTATTCACCTTTTCTTTAAAATAATCCAAAGAGGCAAATACCATTTTTATAAGACCAATTAGACCAGGTTGCTGTGTGTGAAACACACTGATTCCCACAAAATTCAGGCAGCTGTTTCAAATTCAAATTCACTATTTTGATGAGCTCTATTGCTTAATTTAAACTTAGAATTTAATTTAGTAGCTCTTGAATGCAGAAGGGGGTAAAATAAATTAGGCTGCAGATTATGAGATTTGACCAAATTTTAGATGCATGGAAGAACTGTAAATTCCCATAAAGCTAATCTATTCATTGACCCCCACCATTATGATAGAGATCATATGGTGACTAATGCAAGATGAAACACACAGCTTGGAAATAACATGGAATAGGATGTAAGTATGAGCTTCTGTTTTCTTTATTATTTATGGATGCCCCCTCAGAAAAATATGCAAAGGGGTAACTGGCTTGGACGTATGTTTGCACGGCAAATCTTACCTCAGGGTTCCCACATATAGAAGTTTCTATAATATAAAATGTATTAATGTGTTCTGTTGGGAAGGGCGATGCAAGGGTGGTGAAGTATAAGCTATGCATGTATTGTATTTTGATGTTTAGCTCCGAATGAAATTAACTGCCCTAGAAGGCTGGAGTATTCCATGCCGGCGAAGTGTTCATCCCTGAAATGGATGCTTGTATTGATGTAATGGTTTGAAGGTACAGAATGGTAACATACTCTGGTCACAGGGTCATGCCTGTTTGCATATCTAAGTTTAAAGCAACATATGGATGTTCATTGCTGGCAGTGCAAAATATTATTACTTGGGAATGAGAACCTGAGGATAATTATTCTAAAAGTGTGAAACTGTCCAGTGGTGAAATGTACTCTTTTTTTCCAAGCCCCAATGAGTTAATTAAAACACAAGGAGAAATCATATGATTAAAAAAACACACAAAAATATGCTTCTCTCTTTCAGAAGCAGTTGGGTATTTTATTGCCCTTGATTTATCTTATTTTGGAGTATTTTGAATTTACTTTTTAAAAGATATGAAATAAATTTTAATATAAAGGGGCCTATTCATATTTTGGGTGTGTTTAAAAGGGGCTGGCTTGTGAGCACAGTGAACCTTTGCATGTTTTTTGGTTAGAATTTTTGAAAAAATAATCAGACTGTCAGGGTGTCAGCATTGCAGGGGGCGTCCATTTACAGCACAGATGAGTCTGAAGAGAACCTAAGGTAAGATTTTATAGTTTTTCTGTCTTCTTTCTTTAATTTTTAAACATAACTTCATCCTTCTCCCATTTCATTTTTCTATTTCATTTCCTACTACATGGAGCAGCCTATTGCTTAATATTTATGTATGCAATGACTCAGGATTTATTTTTTTTGGCTTCTTAAAAGCTTTCGTATCAAGCTTTTCTTGAGAGCCAAAGTCAAGGCAAATTTTGATAATGACTTGTGCTACAAAAGACAATGTAGGGGAAACTCAGGAATTTAGCCACAGACATTTTTATTTGAACAACTAAAATAATCTGTAAGTATCAACAACTTAAGCATATAAGCATTTCTATAAATGTATATGAAATTTGAGGTAAGTTCTGCTTTTGAAATTTGGGATAGTGTACACTAATATGCCATATTAGATGAAATTATGCTGTATGAGAGCACTTCACTTAGAAATTAGGTTGCCAGTTCCCCCACTTCTTGTACACTTTCACCCCCACCCCCCGCCCACATAATGGCTTTTTCATACCATTCTTCCGTGAGTCAATGTATCTAACACCATCCTGCCTATATTTCATTTTTGGAACCATTTAGCATGGTGGCTGGATATATTGATCTCTCGTTTGTTATTTTTATTACTGTGACTTTGTTTTGGTTCTCTGGTCCATGAGTGCCCACCAGAAGACTATCTGTCAGGTAAGATTGTTTTAAAGTTGTCTTCAATTCTTTGTTGAAAGAAAGAAATACATGTACACTTTGTTCCAGTTTATAATTTATTCAGTAGTGTAAACATGGTGTTAACTTGGGTGAATTTTCTTTCTTGTCCCTCACCATGTTGAGATATGATCCTTCCTGGAAGTGTTGCTTCATTTCATCAGGAATAGTAGAGCACTTTACCCTCCCCTTGACACATGGTTGTACAAACGGAAACGGAAAGCTTGGTATTCTTGTCATATCCTCATCCACTTTTCCCACTTATTCTAAGATTGCAAGCTGATTATGTTCCTTCTCCACCTGATGAAGGTGAGCTGGATAGGGATGTGAAAGATATAAACTGGCCTTCTGTTACCTGTTGTGACCTGAGGTGCTGATTGCATGCATGCATCAAGGAGTGGAAGAGTGAGAAAAGTGCTTTGTTATGTCCTGTGTGGAAGTTTTGCAGGCAAACACTTGCATATGGAAGAATCACGCCAATAATATGCTGGCATCCATCAGGCTGATATTTGGCTTATGTTTTTTATTTTATTTTATTTTTTGGTTTACTTGTGAACCATGTACTTGCTCTTCCTCCCAGAAATATAGCTTGTAGGCAAGGTTAATCCAGTGTTGGCGGTCCATGTCCTAACACAGCATCTGTAAGTTAACACACACCGATTGCTTCCAAGGATGGATTTATCTATCATTTTAGTGACATTTTAATTTTTCTATTTTCTTCATGGGAGTTCTGATAATAGGCATGTATTTTTCAATAAAAAGTGCATTTTACAGAAATTCAGAATACGTATTATATAACCTTTCAATGTCTCCATGATTTCCAACCTTTTCTTTCTTGTGGATCCCATTATCTGGAATTTACATAATATTTGCATAGATTCACAGTAAATGCAAAATAGTCAAAATACTGTGATTGGAAAGATGTACTGTTCCAAATTATTCCAATCATCTACGCCATCTGTGCAGTTGGATACTACTTCATCCCCATCTCTAGCTCCCTCCTGCCTACTTTTGCAGGATGAAAATAAAAATACATCTAAATTGTTTGAGCTCTTTTCTGTTTTTTAGGCGGGTGGGTATTCTGTGAACTGTTACTGGCAATGTAAATGTAATTATAAGTATATATGTATTTATATGAGATAAGCAGTGCCTGGAGATTGCTGGTTTGTGTTAAACATATCAAATATGACCTTATGATTACAGAACTTTGTTTTCATTCTTATGAGCTGAAAGCAAGTTATTAATGAACGTTAAATTATTGGAGATTTTGACATGTTCACAACCAGCATTGGATGTTGTGCATAGTGGTGGGGCGGGGCTTTTGAGTATAACTAATAACTAACTTTGAAAAACCTCCTGGTTTCCAGAAATTGGAGGAGGAAAAAGGCAAAAAGGAGAAAGAGAGACAAGAAATTGAAAAAGAACGGCGTGAAAGAGAAAGGGAACGGGAACGAGAAAGAGAGAGAAGAGAGCGGGAGAGAGAAAGGGAGAGAGAGCGTGAACGAGAGAAGGAGAAGGAACGGGAGCGTGAAAGAGAGCGGGATAGAGATCGAGACCGAACTAAAGATAGAGATCGCGACAGAGAAAGAGATCGCGACAGAGACCGTGAAAGAAGCTCGGACCGCAATAAGGATCGGAGTAGATCTAGGTAAATTAATACCTTCTTATAGATGCTTCTTAATAGCTTTGCTAATGTTTCCTTTCTAAGGAACTAATTATTTAATATGAGTCATGTTTCAAAAGGCCAGTGTGCAAGAAATCTTGCTGAGTGTTAAGTAACATGATTTTGTGAGCAAAGTAATGCATTGCCCCTCAGGCCTGTTCTTAAAACTCGACTGACAATTGTTAAAGCCAAAATCTCACTACAGAGGCTCATGGTAGCAGAAGGTCAACAGTTTCATTATGGCATTGTTAACAGTTATTTGCCTAAATGACTATGCAGGAGCAGTGTCAACGTATATATTTATTTATTTTAAATATTTTTATCCCATCTTTCATGTTAAAAAAACACAGGGTGGCTAATTAAAAAGACAATATTTAAAAGCTAAAACCAGTAGGTATACAAAAGTTAAAAAAGAGTTAAATAAGTATTGTATTAAAATTGGTAATAAAATCAATATGAAAACATTTAAAACAAGAGAGCACAACATTCCATTTAAAAATCCCTTTCAGACCACCAGTTGTTAAGGGAAAAACTGCTTGAAGAGAGAGGTTTTTGCTTGCATGTGGAAGAACAACAAAGATGGGGCCAGTCTAGCTTCCTGTGGGAGGGAGTTTCAGAGTCTGGAAGCAGTGACAGAGAATGCCTTCTGCCGTGGCCCCACCAAGCACACCTTGTGAGGGTGGTGGGACTGAGAGAAAGACCTCACTCAATTATCTTGAAGCCCAGGCAGGCTCAGAGAGAAACACATAGTCTTTTAGATCATTTGGAGCCAAATCATTTTGGGCTTTATAGGTTAAAACCAGCAAAAGCCCAGGCAGGCTCAGAGAGAAACACACAGTCTTTTAGATCATTTGGACCCAAATCATTATAGATTAAAACCAGCACTTTGAATTGTGCCCGGAAATGGATTGGCAGCCAGTGTAGATTCTGTACAATGGGTTCACATGATCTCTGTAAGCAGCTGCGGTTACAGAGATCACGTGAAACGAGTACTGCTAGTGCACTGGTTGTAACTGTTCAAAGGCACTCCTGGCCACTGCCAAAACCTGAGTATGCAGACTCAGATGAACCCAGGAACAACCCCAAGTTGTGCACCTTTGTTTTCAGACGGAGTATAACCTCATCCAGCACCGACTGCAACATTATTCCATGATCTTGATTTCTTTTTGACTGACCAGGCACACCTCTGTCTTGTTTGGATTAAGTTTTGGTTAATTCACCTTCATCCAGTCCATTACTTAACACCAGACACTGATTTAGAACTGAAACAGCTTCCTTGGATGTAGATGGAAAGGACAGAGAAGAGTTGAGTGTCATCCGCATACTGATGACATCGAATCCCAAAGCTCTGGACAGCTTCTCCCAGTGGTTTCACATAGATGCTAAACAGCATAGGGGACAACAAAGATCCCTGAGGGACACCACAATGGCCAGAGTGTCAAAGAGGAGCCCCCCAGGACCACCTGCTGAGTTCTCTCCTCCAGGAAGAACCAAAGCCACTGTAAAATAGTGCCTCCAGGTACCATCCAAGGGATATGGCCTAGAAGGATACCATGGTCGATGGTACTGAAAGCTGCTTAGAGGTCCAGCAGAACCAACAGGGACACACACCCTGTCCACTTCCCAGCGTAGGTCATCCACCAAGGCGACCAAAGCAGTCTCCGTCCCATAACCAGCCCTAAAGCCAGATTGAAATGGATCTGGATAATCCATATTATCCAGGAACCTGCTCCAGCACCTTGCCCAAGAATGGGATATTACAGACTGGCCAGTAATCATCTGATACTTGAAACATGTAACAAGTATTTGAAGTTCGCTTGTTTACAGTGTGCTCTGAATCAGTTTTTTAAAATCTCAAATCAAATGTTACTTTAACTATCAGACCTAAATTTTATTATCCTGAGTGTTAAAGGCTGATGTTGCAGGTGTTAACCACTTGTTAATCACCATTCTGTTGTGTACAGGGAGAAAAGCAGAGACAGAGAAAGAGAACGGGAACGGGAGCGAGAGAGGGAACGGGAGCGAGAGAGAGAAAGGGAGCGGGAAAGGGAACGAGAACGGGAACGGGAACGAGAAAAGGACAAAAAAAGGGACAGAGAAGAAGATGAAGAAGATGCATATGAGCGACGCAAACTTGAAAGGAAGCTACGTGAAAAGGAAGCAGCTTATCAAGAGGTAAGTGGGGAAGTCTCTTCTATGGGTTTGGATTAAAAAAAACCTTGTGAATGTGGGACATACACTCTTTGGGAGGAAGTTGGGAGTGGGATCTAATTTCTACTTATTCTTCCTCCAGAGGCAAAGCACTGCACTGCATTGTAAACCCCCCCCCCCCATGTCTCATGCTTTCTGAGGAGAAGCCTTTGGGGGAGGGCTGCCCCTTTTCCAGAGGAAAGATTTTCTTCTCTGAATGGAATTCTAATTATACTTTTTAAGATCTAACTCTGTACGTGTGATCTAATTCATCTATGCATATGTATTTTCTTTATGTGTTATCTATATTCTAATAATAGTAATACTGGGCAACAGAATTCAGAGCATTTTACAGTTTTCTTCTGTAGGAATAGCATTCTAGACTGACAATTACAGGATTTAAATTAAAAGTGGATGCTTTTCCCATTTTCAAATTATATATGGAACTGTTCTTTAATGAATAGTGAATTAAATAAACTGTTTTCTTCCAGCGTCTGAAAAACTGGGAGATAAGAGAGCGAAAGAAAGCTAGAGAATATGAAAAAGAAGCTGAAAGGGAAGAAGAAAGGCGAAGGGAAATGGTAAGAGGTTCATTAGTTTCCAGTACTTTTATGTAGAGATGAGCACGAACTGCCGAACCAGCGCTTCGTCCTGCATCATCCTTTGGCTGAACAATGTTCAACACTTCCAGGTTGCACCTCCTCCAACAGGCACCCTCTCAGAGGAGGCAGGGCAGGGTAGCCTGTGAGTTGCCATGGAGTGGAGGCCCGTCGGAGGAGGTGGGGCATGAACTGCCAGTTCAGCGATTCATACTCGTCTCTACTTTTAGGGGATGCTTTGAATGGTGAAGTCTCTGTAGTTCCATACAAGATAATTGTCTTGCTTGCTTATAATGAAAAGTCCAGTGGCACTTTTATTAAAAAGTCCATTTTAGAGAGAAGCTGTCCAAGTTGACCTTGCATTCCTTTCATAGAGGAGGCAAGATCTGAAACTGTTTTTTCCATGTTGATTTCAAGAGAGCTGCTCAGTGCTTCTTCCGTAATTTCACCCTCTTCCACCCTTTTTAAACGGGCAATACGTTTGAGGCTATTATCTGATGGTTTATATGGCTGTCCACGCACCCAGCCCTTAATCTTCTTCTTATCTCTGCCTTCACGTATGTATATACAAGGCAAAGATTTATAGCCTAAGAAGCCAAGCCGTGTTTAACAGACCATTATTTTCTGCTTCTCCAACGGCCGCCATCTTCCCGGTCAAAAGTACTTTTTTTAGATAAAAGACGGTGCAATTACACCTCAAAAAGTCTTTCTATCTTTGCCTGAAGTTTTCATAAGAAGTTTAAACACTCTTTACTCACAGTTCAGGCAGGGAGAAGGACATTTATCATCCTTTTTTAGATACCAGGGTGAAGAGACGAAAATTCAGCCGTGCATCGCCATTCTAGGGGAAGTGACGTCCAGTGGCACTTTTAAACTAATAAATTTTATTTGGCATACGTTTTTGTGACAGCATCCCATTTCTTAAGCTGTATGGTATGTAGCCTTCGTTTGCTACTGCAACTACACTGTTTGAAGTGGACTGTAGTTCACAAAAGCATATGCAAAATAAAACTTGCATGTTTAAAGGATTCTTGGTTGTATTTTTTGCTGAAATGGACTAACATGGCTACCTCCTTGAAAATATGCATGCTGTATGCCAGTCTAAACTATAATGTCAACCAAAATACCTGAACATTTTTTCAAATGATTTTTATGGGGTTTAAAGCTTTGCTTGATTAGAAGCAGGCATATAGAGGCCTGCAAGAGCCGTTTAGGAAGTGTACAGCAGCAACCCACATATCTGGGAAAGGAAAAGAAAATATTCTACATTAAAAAATGCCTGCCAACTCTATAGCATCACAGTTGTTTTTTGTAAAGTTAAAAATTTGTTGTTTATTTTATTGGTATTCTGCATTTAAATGTTTAGCTTTGCAACTAGAAACTTACATATTTTATACCTCTGCTGTCCACCTTACAAGGGACTTGTAGGTTCCAGTGAGCTGTAGAAGTCATAAACTGCTAAACTCTTTATTTTCAAATCTGCAAAGAGGTTCCGAACTGATTATCTGCGTATCTGACAACTTTCAGAAGAATTGGGTAAAACTCAAGGCTGGTTACCATACTATGATTTAAAAAAAGGACTAAGATGTTGTATTATTGTTCTGCTTCCATTTTTCCTAATGGATCAGAATAACTGCCAGCATTTGTAATTTATATTATTCAGTTTAAATCAGGTGGGTAACACATGAGTGAGATTGCTTTCTGCCAGCTCACCTCCACACATTGGCAATGTGATAGTATTGCCCACAAAATCTATTTTTGATGCATTCCCACTTTAAAATAGGAAGCAGTGTACCTTGGTTTAAAGCTGATTCATGCTTCTGGACATATGGTGCTGCTTTAAGATAAAGCAAGTATGCTCCTCATGCACCTTTCATTAAAGTAAAAATGCAACTTTTTTGTTACCATTGACATTCAGTAGTAGTTCTTTGCTGGTTTAGAGGCAGGATGAACAGTCTACTCAAGTTGCCCACCTGTATATGTGTTTTAATATAACCTCTCTAATAGACTGTCTTCAGGTAAACACATTAGCTTTTTAGTATTCTTGGCTGTATGGAACAGTCCCCTCTTATAAACTGTAGTGGTTGCCTAGGCAAAAAGCTCAGTTGGTATGCACCCACATGTGATAATTCAGAAGTCCATGGAATGCTGCCATAAATGAGAAGAATTAATGTTAATAGATCTTAGAACCTAGATAGGAAGAATGCCGTCCTGAGCACATTGACAGCTCTGTCTCATTTCAACTTGGTAGCATGTGTTTTTTAATAAAACGTTTAGTATTTTATTCTAAGATTTAAAAATGCCCATATATTTAACTGTTTAGGTCAAAATAGGTTGCTCTTGAGCCACAACTAAAGGCAGTTATCAAGAGTATGACTTTCCCTGCCAGCACAGGCCCACGGAGTAATAACATAAATAGGTCACTCAGTGGTATCAGGAGAATATAGGGTAAATGGCAAATATGCCAGCAGTAAAGGTGGAAAAACCAGTGTGCAAGATCGTCAGTAGGGAGGTCTGATTTTCCTTGTGGCTATTTGACGTAATCTAAGTCTGAAATGCTTGTGAATGTTCTACTTCCTAGGAGAGGAAAACAAGTACAAAGCTAACTACTATATCTTGTCACTCTGTAAGATGGTTCATCTCTCACTGTTTGGGGGCACATATCTTCATTTTTCACTTGGCAACCACACACAAATTTGTAAAAGTGTGCTTATCTGCCCCAAAAGGGAGTTGGGCCTTCAGCCAATTCTGCATTAATTGTAATGGGTATATACACAGTTTTGCCTTGTTCTTTGTAAAGAAGAAAATACTTATGAATTTGATTTCAAAGAAAATTAGAAATAAAACTTATTGTTGCTTCTGTTTCCTTGTTTATGTAGTAGCAAATGGTCATAGGGATATCAGCATTAATAAAAATGACCCAAAACGTACAACACATAGATTATTCAGGTATTTGAGGTAGGTGGTTTTGCATTTAATAAGTATCAGGTCATTGTTTTCAGAATGAGAGGTGGTATAGATGGGAAAAATACAGCATTTATTTACCCGTTACAATATAAAGTGCTACTTGAGAAACTTTCTGGCAGAGATAAGCATATTGTTTATTCCTGTGCATGGCAAGAATTATGTTAGAAATAGATTATTAAAGCAATACAAAATGTGTTAAACTTTTATAGGCAAAAGAAGCAAAACGTCTAAAAGAATTTTTAGAAGATTATGATGATGACAGAGATGATCCAAAATACTACAGGTATGCTTAGCATGCATTGCAGTAAATCAGTTCATATTAATTGTTGCTATTTAGATATTAAGTCATCTCCGACTCTTCGTGACCCCATGGACCAGAGCACGCCAGGCCCTCCTGTCTCCCACTGCGTCCTGGAGTTGGGTCAAATTCATGTTGGGAGCTTCGCAGACACTGTCCAACTATCTCATCCTCTGTCGTCCCCTTCTCCTCTTGCCTTCACTCTTTCCCAACATCAGGGTCTTTTCCAGGGAGTCTTCTCTTCTCATGAGATGGCCAAAGTATTGAAGCCTCAGCTTCAAGATCTGTCCTTCCAGTGAACGCTCAGGGTTGATGTCTTTCAAAATGGATAGTTTTGTTCTCTTTGCAGTCCAGGGGACTCTCAAGAGTCTCCTCCAGCACCACACCACAGTATTTGCACCATACCATCACACCACACCATCATGTTAATTAGCTTCCTTATATTTCTTACAGCTGTGATTAAAAGGACATTTGTGTTAATCATAATTATCATCATGTGCCATCAAGTTGTTTCCAACTTATGGCAACACTTGCCAAGGTTTTCTTAGTATAAAGAACTCAGAACTTGTTCACCAGTCCTTCTGTAGCAATGCTCTGGGACTGTACACCTTGGCCAAGGCTACACAGGCTGGTTCTTCTGGAAGGTACGGTGGGAAATTGAATTCCTGACCCCTGCCTGACTCCACAGCAAGGTACTCCAACTCACTGAGTGATCCAGCCAGCTTTCCAGGATACTGCTTTTCTGCCACGTACTTGAGAAATATTAAACATACTGATTAATCAGCATTGATTGATACTGTACTGACATACTGATTTAATTGATAAACTGAAGTGGTGTAATGCCAAATTGCTATTTCAAATGTTACTAATTTGGATACATTTTGAAAATGTCTGCATTTATAGTTTTTAGAATTCAATTTATAAACCTGTATTTCAAATGTAGGTTTAGGGTAGCTTTTAATACATTACACACTACAAAATAATACCCTAACTTTTGCTAGAAACAGTTTTATAAAGGCAACAGTTCACTAGAACAGGTTAAAAAAATTAAAAACTATAACCCCTGATACAATTAAAGAATTTGCCTGCCGCTTGAAATACATCAGAATATGGAGCTCAGGCAGGCCTATCAAAGTCCCTCAAAGTCAAGAATCATTGCAGAAAAGATCCTCCCCTTATAACCATCCAGTAGACTTCAGATACATTGGAAAAATACTGAGCATACTCAAATAACTACTAATCAGTGGGAATCAGGAAATGTATTTATATATTTAAAGCTAGAAGCAATTCAAAATGTTTTGTTTTCCTAATTTTAAAAATTTCAGTTCTTTCCATGGATAAGGTCTTGCCAAAAAGCAGATAATGCTTTTGTATTCAAAACAGATTTTTCCTTTCCAGTGGAGGAATGAAACTAGTCCAGATTCTGAGTAGAGTGGTTATGCTGTTCTTGTCATTTGTTTCTTCATGAATATTTGTCAATCTTACAATACAGGGGCAGCGCTTTGCAGAAGCGATTGCGAGACAGAGAGAAAGAAATAGAAGCAGATGAACGGGATAGAAAAAGAGAAAAGGAGGAACTGGAAGAAATTAGGCAACGTCTTCTTGCAGAAGGACACCCAGATCCAGATGCAGAGTTGCAAAGGGTAAGAAATTTGTTTTTTGGCAAATTCATTATTAAAGATAATGGTATTTTTGTATATGAATACCCCCCACAGGTGAAGATAATGAGAGTCTGGCCCCCTGAGGCCAGGACATCCACTCACCATTCCGCTGCTGCTACGGGCTCCGCACTCCCTTCCTATCACTCCGGAGCTCACGGTGGATTAGCCACTCTTCGACCTGGCAGAGAGGCTTGTTATCCCGCCTCCTGCCAGGAGTGGCTAGTCCACCGCTCTGGAGTGATAGGAAGGGAGCGCGGAGCCTGCAGCAGCAGCAGCAGAACGGTGAGTGGATGTTCTGACCTCGGGGCCAGACACTCATTATCTCCACCTGTGGGGGTGTATTCACGAATACGAATACCCCCATATCTAATAATGAATTAGCATTTTAAAAAAACACAGTACATAAAGACCATGATGCTGATGCTATTATTTACTTAATGTGATTCACTTTCCCCCTTGTTTTATAGATGGAACAAGAGGCTGAAAGACGTCGACAGCCACAAAACAAGCAGGAGCCAGAATCTGAAGAGGAGGAGGAAGAAAAGCAAGAAAAAGAAGAGAAGAGAGAAGAACCTGAAGAAGAAGAGGAAGAACCAGAGCAAAAGCCCTGCCTTAAACCAACACTGCGACCCATTAGTTCTGCTCCATCTGTTTCATCAGCAAGTGGCAATGCAACACCCAACACTCCTGGGGATGAATCACCCTGTGGCATCATCATCCCACATGAAAACTCCCCTGATCAGCAGCAACCTGAGGAATATAGACCAAAAATAGGACTAAGTCTTAAACTAGGCAAGTTGTGTTTTGTTTCTGTTTTTTTGTTTACATATAGCAGTTTCTTTTGTTTTGCTTTTCTTTTAATATGAAAAAGATAGGAAGGTGCTGTTAAGTGATACCACAGTTAACTTTTATGAAATTATGCTTTTTCTCCTCCTTCAGATGCTATGAATTATTATTGTTGCTTTTGGGAACAATGAAACTGGGTCAGAATAAGATAAAACTGACTGGTTCCTCTGATCTGGAAGAGGCATTTCAACCTCTCAGTTGCTGTTTCCTCTTGATTTTAATTGTGAAAGTTTTACCATGAAGCTGGTAAAATCTCTGGAACAGCTGATATTGAAATATCATCAAATGAGAATTTTCCTTTATGTTATAGGTGCCTGCAATAGTCCCAACCAACCTAATGCTGTAAAAAGAAAGAAACTCACTGTAGACAGTGTTTTCAATAAATTTGAAGACGAAGACAGTGATGACATGCCCCGAAAAAGGAAGCTGGTTCCTCTGGATTATGGTGATGAAGACAAAGGCTCCTCCAAAGGCAGCGTCAATACTGAAGAGAAGCGCAAGCACATTAAGAGTCTAATTGAGAAAATTCCCACAGCTAAACCAGAGTTGTTCGCTTACCCTCTTGACTGGTCTATTGTGGACTCAGTGAGTATAAAATTTTACAAAATACTCAGTGTGGTCACAGACGGTATCGTGTAGTAGTTTGTCAGATCTCAGTCAAATGTATATACCATTTGTGGCTCAACTGAACATACTGCATTCATTGACTTAGACGGTAAATGATGACATTTGCTGAAAACTGCCAGAAATAGCAAACAATTAGGTTGATATCATTACATTTATGGTCTGTCTTTATTTTCTCCATATTAGACTTGTGACTTGTACATGCAGATGTATGCTATATATAGTCCAAGCTCTGTGGTTAAAGAGATGATACAGGATTTATAATTTTACCCTTGTTTCTGTGTACAACCAACAGAATCTCAATAATCCCTTATTTATTATCTTTACTGTGTTATTACACATTGCTGATCCTAAGTGTTCCTTCTGCAAATGAAAGGATGTTTTCCTTTTCCGAAAAACTTGATTTTAGCAGTAATGGACAGTTTACACATTCTCCCCACAAATACAAAGAGGACTGTAAAACCTCTGTACATCAGGTTTTTAAACCAATGGCTATCCATCACAGAGATATATGAGCAAGCATACAATCCACTAATGGCCATATAATTATACCCCTTTGGCTCTTGAGTGTCCTGTATTAGGGAAAGCAATCAAGTGAATTTTTATTTATAAAATAATCAATGTGTTTTTTAAAAGGAACTTGAGAAATGTGAGAAAATTTAGTTTGCTTAAGAAGTTACCACTTACTGACAAGAAAGAAAGGCAACATTTCAGTGCAATCATACGTATTAATTCAGAAGTAAATACAAGTGTCATAAGTTGAACTTTCTCCATCTATTTTTAGAATCTCAGCTGCAGTCATTTTCAGATGTGCTTTCCATCAATTAAAGCCGGAATTTCTTTCTTTCTTTCTTTCTTTCTTTCTTTCTTTCTTTCTTTCTTTCTTTCTTTCTTTCTTTCTTTCTTTCTTTCTTTCTTTCTTTCTTTCTTTCTTTCTTTCAGTTGTAGTTTTAAGTTGTAGTGCTGGATTACTTCTGCTAGTCAGTCCTAATATGAAAACAGTGTGTGCTGCATATACTGAAAGATGGTAACAACCTTAAAATGATTCTCCTTTCTGTTATAGACACTAATGGAGCGTCGCATTAGACCATGGATCAACAAGAAAATAATAGAATATATTGGTGAAGAAGAAGCCACACTAGTTGACTTTGTTTGCTCAAAGGTTGATTTTATACACTCCCCCCCCCCCATCACAGTCCTTACATAGAGGAAATGATTATCAGTACTTCCTTTTGCTTATCATTTGTACACAATTATCATTTTTGGTTTGTGTGTACATACTTGCCTCTGCATACTGTTGTTTTAAAACAGATGGTATGTAGTCCAAAGGCTAATGTTAGACATGCATCTTTAATGGGTGAGTTGTTCATGGGATTGTACCTTGCTCAAACAATGACAGCAAATAGTGTGAAGATATTATTTAGAGTAGAGTAGGATGGTAAGGTACAAATACCTGCTCTGTCCTCCTACTTGCATAGCCTAATTCAACCAGTTAAAAGAAACTTTGTAATGCCTGTTAAGAATCACATTAAAAAGATTGGGGGGGGAATAAAAGAACATCAGATTCTCAAAATAATTAAATGTGGTTTTATTTGCAAACTAGTACTTAGGAAAGTTTGAAATAAAAATCAGTAATTGTACTTAACACATTTTGTTAGCTCATAATTTACTTTTACATGAATAATATTTCTAAATCTTGCTGGACTGCAGTTTCAGAATCATCAAAGTGCTATATTCTCAACTTTTGTGTATCTCTTTCAGGTTATGGCTCATAGTTCACCACAGAGCATCCTGGATGATGTTGCTATGGTAAGTAAAGGCAGAATAAAATTTCTTATGTGATTCTCAAATTTTCAACAGACATTCAACCTTTGGTCTAGATGGGTGGGGTAGAAGTCTAATAAATAAATAAATAAAATAAAACTTTTGTCACCAAATGCGTTCAGAGAGGGATGTAGTTTGTTTTCTCCAGTGAATGATGCCCTTAAATTGAAAGTCTTTTTCCTTTTTTTGCTACAGGTGCTTGATGAAGAAGCAGAAGTTTTTATAGTCAAAATGTGGAGATTATTAATCTATGAAACGGAAGCCAAAAAGATCGGTCTGGTGAAATAAGGAATATTTTTTTAGGTCTCCATTTCAATTTTTGTTTCACATTACTGAAGAACTTTGATATCTCCAGAGACATTTGTGAGACCTGTACTTTTTAAATGTAGAAAATGTGAATTTTTTTCATCTTCTGTTTCACCAAGATCCCTTTCCCCACGTCTCAGTTTCCCCGATTGTAATTACCTGAATTCTGCACTGGTTGTTTTTCACTCACTGGGGTACAGTTACAGGTATGGTTTATAAACTACAGCTGCTGTATACAGTCTCTGATCTTCATCTTCTCAAACTGATCCTTGTAAATAGAAAAAAGACCCATATTAGAAAACATCTGCACTTACTGGATACCAGAATAATTGGGTTTTGTACAAGTGCATTGACCTCTTCTTTCCTCTCCATTTTTAAAAATTAGAATAAACTTTAAAACTTTAAAGATGGATGGGAGTCATTATGCTGGCACACAGTTTTCATCTGCATGGATATGAATGCATTCCACGGTTGGATTTTGTAATATTTCTAGATGAGCTTGTAGAATATATGGTGAACTTGTATTAGCTTGGACATTCTTGTAAAGCCATTAGTTCCTTGTTCATTACATTAGCCCTTCTGTTGAGTTCATACATACTTAGTTTTTTTAAAAACAACAACAGGTTAACAAGTACACACATTCATTTGAATCTAGTCAATCCCACATCTTTTTAAATTTGTTTTTGTTTTTGAAAATTGCATAAGCCAGTTTGGCATATTTGTGGAAAGAAAAGGTTTAAAGATTTAATGAGCACAACAGTTTACAATGTTAAAACATCTTAGATGATGGAGAAATTGTTTTTATGTAAGCCATCAAGTCAGCTGTGACTTTATTTTTTCGTACTGTAAACTGTAAGTTGGATTGATAGAAGGTGATATTTCCTGATCCTTTACACTATATGGGGTTTATACTTATGCCAGTGTGGTATAAATAACAATACTACTATGTACTATAAACTGCATTTTTAAAAAACTCACCCACAAGTAGAAAGACTGTATGCAATGGGCCTTCTTGACTGCAGGATGAACACCATCCAGGAAGTAACAGTTGTCTCTGATTTTTTTATATACTGCTCTTCTGATAGGTCTTTCCCTGTAAAAATACAGGCTGACCTATTTGGAAGGTGTAACTGACCCTGAATTACTGAATTCTTGCATTATAAGAGGACATCTGGAAAAAACTGTTCTTAACAAATGGGATCATATAAAGGTTCCACCATGTAAATATTTCAGATATTAAAAATGTATATATTTGATCTGGACTTGATGCTTCTATCTTGAGGTTTGTATTACCTCTTCTATCTCATCTCCAAAACAATGGGTATAGCTGGCAGACACAGATTACAGTCTATTACAGTATGCATTTTATTACTGGTCCAGCTGTATCATTCTTACAGTGTTATAGCCAGAGCATCACCAAGCTTAGATAAGTTAACCTTGCTACACACCATGTAGGACAATCAGGATGTAAATTTTACTATTCAAGAAACTTTTTAATATTCATTGCCATTTTTATTTATAGCATTTTCCCTTGCCTTTCTTTAAAAAAAAAAAAGGACCCAAGGCAGTTTACATCTAATCCTGATGTCCCTACCAGGCTACTTGTCTGCAGCGCAAGTGGAAATTTTGGCTGTCATTAATAAAAGAACAGAAGAATGGAGAAGTGGGGGTTAGGCATTTGAAAAATTAGAGTGATTAATTTATATGTTTATATAATTCTGCTATGCAGATACATTTAATTGTGATTTACATCGCTGTGAAAGTCTCTTAAACAATGGAGAACATGTTTTGTTTCTGTTGGGAAAGTTATTCCGTATAAAATGGGGAAAAACCATAGTATTGACAAAGCACACGCTTTGCGTGCAGAAAGTCCCAGCTTCACTGGTGAAAATACTACTTAACACTGAAGAGAGAATGTCATGCGTTGGTGAAACAGAGAAGTCAATGATGTGACTTGTAAGAACCTCTTCCATGTGCATCCTTGACCTGAGTAGGTAACTGAAACATTAACAGTCCATGTACTTAAACAGAACTTATTTAAAAAGCCAAACTCTTATGATTGAACAGTTTGGTTTTGTTTGTATGTTTTGCAATAAACAACAAATGTTTTTCAAGATGAGAACACGCACTTTCACCTGCATCTATAAATAACTGGAAGCCAGTAAAGGTTTATTTTTCCCCCCAAAATGGAGTTGCGTATCAGCCTCTTTCTTGCTCTTGCAATTTAATCAGCTTGAAGTTTAGCTGTGACTTCTGAGTCCCATGGCTTATTATTTTAGATTATATGTTTACAAAAAGGTGACTTGCAAAAAATTTACTTTGGGGGTCACTTCAGTAGTGGCACAAAGTAAATCCCAGGCCAACACTAATGTCTGTGGCACAAATAAACTTTTAATTATGTCCATTTTATGCTTAGAAGACCATCTGAAGATAGTTTTCAGGGCTATGCTTTAAAAATGCACAAGCTCTTGTAGATGAGGATAAAGCCACCCAGCTTGTTCACAAGGGAAAAATACTAGTATTGTTAGTGTTAGCATGGTTTTAAATTACTATATTTTTCCATGTATAAGACTATACTTTTCTCTAAAATCTTTAGACTAAAAATTGAGGTTTGTCTTATACACTGAAGTAAGCGGATGAGAAAAAACAAGTAGAGGGGAAAGCAGGTATCAAAGTGATCCTACAGGGCTTTTATCCTTTTTACCCTACATTTGCTAAATTAGATTTAATTTTGGGTTAGAAAAGTGGGGGGTCTTATACATGGGGGCATTTTATATACAGAAAAATATGGTAGTTCCTACATCAAAACTTTATACAAATTGTGTGCTGTGCGAAGCCTAGCAGAGAAAACTATGTACGCTTTAAAGGGAAAATGTAGTTTATTCTCTAGACCAGAGGTGTGGAACCTGTGCCCCTCTGTTACTCCCAGCGCTTGGTGTTTCAGCTAATTCTATTAAGCTAAGACCCGAGCAATAATAATAATTGGGCAGCTCCTTGGAGGAAACGGCAACAGGTTTATTCAGATAAGACAAGTGTGCACTCAGGTGCCCAGCAGGGTGGGGGACCCCGAGATCAACAGTGTTAAAGTTTTTATAGTTCTAAAAAGGAAACAAAAGTATCAGTTCATTGGTCCATGAGGACCATGCATTGGTTACAATTTCTCACATCTCAGCAAAGCAATTTCTGGTGCGCAGAGCAGCTTATCTCCAAGGAATGTTAAATCTTACAAAGCACTACTATTTCTTTGGCACTTACTCCCTTCTTACACTTCCATGTGCTGATCTCCAGTGCCCATCATCCCCAGGCAATGGTAAGAGACAACAGGAACAGTAATCCAGCAACATTTAGAGAGCCACATGTCTCCATGCTATAAGCTAACAAGTGCAAGTACCGCAATAGTGGGTACTAAATCACACATAATTTGAAGGCTCTTCAAGCTTTTGAAACTGCCTGAGGAAAATGGGCTATATTACAATCGAAAGCTTGCGATCTTGATTTTTCCCAGGGGTCTAATGCTATCGCCTGCTTCTGCATTTATATAGTTTTCTTTGGAAAATTCCTTATGTACACTGAACCGAAGAGTAACATCCGCTGAATGCAGTCGGATTTACTCCCGATTAATATCCATATATAAGAGCGGGCTGCAATGCATACGATCTTCATTTTTAAAATGCACAGGGTGTATGCTAGAAAAGATCTGCTGATCCCAGAGGGACCGCCTCCTCCTTTCCGCAAAACAGGCTCGGGAGCAACGCCCAGCTCCTGACTGGTCCAACGTGCCTCGAACGGGGCTGTTCAGACGGAGGTGGTTTTGGCGCAGCAGGAGAAACACCCCCGCCACACACACACACACACACTCCCCACCTGACCCGTCTCGCGCGGCGCGTGCGCGCTAACGTCTCTCCACCCCGGCCGGCTGCAGCTGTTGTTTGTCCCTGCCCTGAGGTGAAAGGGAGGCCCCGCGTCCCCTTGATGGACAGCCGCAGCCCGTTCAGGGCAGGCCCACACCCTGACGACCGAGCGAGCGAGCGAAGGAAGGAAGGAGGGAGGGGAGGGGAGGAGGCGGAGGCCAGGTGCTGACTCTAGGAGAGGGGGCGGAGCCTGGGCCGGAAGTGTCAAGGGGGGGCAGGGAAGGTTTGGGGGACGGTACCCTGCAAGCGGGTCGGAAGGGAAACAAACTGGTGGGACCGGTTCTGAGGGGGCAGGTAAGCCGTGGCCTTGGCAGAGAGGATGGGACGCGTGAGGGAGAAAAGGCCTCTTGGGGAAGGGCCGTAGTACTCGGTCGGGACTCCTCCTGTTACTTCTCCAACCTCCCTCTTGGTACGAGTGTTTCCATCCCCCTCTGTTGACCCGCCTTCCCCCTCCTTCTACCAGCAGCCCCGGCCCTCTTTGTCTCGCCCTTGTGCCCCCCCCTCCCGTGATCCACCTTTGGGATCATGGCTGTTTCCCCTTCCCCGCCTAAGGTCCAGCAGCACTCTTCAAGTGGATCCCGCCCCTCTTGTGACCTAATATACAAGAGGGCTGTGCTCTTTAAACGCTCACTTGCAATCAGGGCTGGGATGGGGTGTTAAGCCAGATTCAATTGCTTCAGTTGGTATAGGAAGGCTGGGGGATGGGGGACTGCGACCTTTGTTCCCCATAGACATGCAGTACTGGACGGTTTTGATAGTACTACAAAGGGCAGAAAATCGGTTTCTCGTCTTGCCAGGGGAATGTAGTTATGGGGGATCTATTTGCAGATACCCCGTGAAGTGTAGTGGATCGAGTGATGGTGGACTAGGGCTCTAGAAACTGGGGCTCGAATCCCTGCTCAGCTCTGAAAACTCACTGGAGGTGTGTAAGCAGCAAAACCACTCCTTCAATCTCTCATTTACCTTTAAAGTCCTGTTAGGGTCTCTGTAAAGAAGGTACAGAACTACCACAACAAATTTGCCTGTTGAAAGGCTAATTCTACTGGTTTGCAAATTAAATAGATGTATTTTCTTTGAGTCCAACATTATGCCAGTGTCAGAGTGCTTTTCAGAAGGTTGTTCAGGTGCTTTGTGTCCACAGAGAAGATTTCTTTCTGGTTTAGATCAGAGTAAAGAAAGCAATTTTAAGTGCTTCCTTGAAGAATATTATCTAATGCTTTTTCACTTTCCACTTGAGCTGTTGAAGGAGGCTTTAAACTAAAGAAATTCTTGTGGCACGTAAAGACTAATACATTTATTGTGGTACAAATTTTTTTGGATCAGAGCTTGTCTCAGCAAATAAATCAATATCTTGAATTGGCAGATGTAAAAATACATACCTGTGTTTTTCCTACATTGTGTCTGTGTCAGTTATATACAGTCATAGTGATACACAGGTGTGAGTGTGCAGATACACAAATCAGTTCAGATTGGCACTCCAGTTATCTCTTGAAATGAAGTCTGTTAGTGAAAGCTAATGTCATAATAAATGTGATAGTTTTCTTTGTTTTTGTGGCATATTTTTTGGAAATCAAAAGTGGAGATTGTTAATAGGATGAAGTAATGCTGACATTTTGCTGCTTAAGGATGCTACAGATTGGTCTGAAGGCAATAGCCATGTGGTTCAGTTTTATGTTTCGCTTTTCTGTGTGGGTTTTGAAATAGTTTGAAGGTGCAGTCTAATAATTTTTAATTATGTGTCATCACATCAGTTCCAATTTACAACAGCCTTTCCAGAATTTACTACATATAACACACTCATACATGGTTTGTCAGTGGTGTCATTCTGGGGCTATGCAGTTTGCCCAAGATCTCACAGGCAGGGCATGTAATCTTGTCAGCCGCACACAGACTGGATGATCTCAGGTTGTCCCTGTTTTTTGAGACACGGTGAGGATTCAGACTCCCAGCCAGTGGCTGAGTGCCCAAGTGCTCCAGACCATTGAGGTATACCAGCACATAGTCTAATAGGAGAGGGATGTTGCTGTTGTTTATAAATACTGCAAATGGTGTCCTTGCCCTGGGTCATAATGTAATTTATTTCTTTGTTTGTATAAAATATTTATACACTTCCTTTCTCCTCAAGGGGATCTAAGGTGCCTTACAATATTAAAACAATAGTAAAACTGTAAATGAAAAAGAACTCTGTTTTTAAGGATCCCATATTAAGCGGCCAGTTAGTAGAAAAATCCTGCCTAAAGGTATTTGCTTGCTAAATAAAATAGGTTTCGAGCCTGGCCTCTCATGGGAGGGACTTCCACTGCTTGAGAGGAATAACCAAGAAGGCCCTTTCTCATTTATTTATTTATTTATTTATTGGACTTATATACCTCCCCATAGCGCTACAAGCACTCTCCGGGCGGTTTTACAATTTAATTATACAGGCTACACATTGCCCCCCCCCCCCAGCAAGCTGGGTACTCATTTTACCAACCTCGGAAGGATGGAAGGCTGAGTCAACCTTGAGCCGGCTACCTGGGATATCCTCACCAAACACACCTGTGAGCCTGTGGACAGAGAGAAAGTCCTCCCCTGATTATTTTAAAACCAAGTTGGGCTCATAAAGGGACATGCAGTCTTTCAGGCAGCTTGAATGCAATATATAAGTAAGGCATGTGTCACTGTGGCCAGATCAGCCAGTTCTAGGAAGGGGGGAGGTGGTACAGTAGTTTTAATTGTGCAAATGCAATCCTGACCACTGCTGAGATCTGGACATTTAAGCTAAGGGACAAATCCAGGAGCACACCCAAGTTACATACCTGTTTTTTCAGGGGAAGTATAACCTTGTCTAGCAGAGGTTGAAGCCCCATTCCCTGGCCCAGTCTTTGACTGAACAGGAACACATCTGTTTTATCTGGATTAAGGTGCAGTTTATTCACCCTCAACCAGTCCATTACTGATGAAAGATGCTGATTTAGAAGTGAAGCAGTTTCCTTGGGATTAGACAGAAAGGAGAAATAGAGTTGGGTGTCATCTGCACACTGATAACACTGAACCCCAAAATTCCAGACAACATCTTCCAGCAGTTTCATGTTGATATTAAATAATGTAGCATGGATAACAAAACAGAACCCAGTGGGACACCACAGGCCAAAGACCAAAACATCAAACGGGAGTCCCCCAGGACCACCTGAATTCTCCTTTCCAAGAAGGACCAGAGCCACTGCAAAGTAGTATCTCTAAGTCCTGTCTGGCAGAGACACAATTAAGAAGGATACCATAGTTAGTGATGTGAAAAACTGCCAAGAGGCCCAGCAGAATCAAGAGGAGCATCCTCCCTCTGTCTGGTTCCTGATGTAGGTTGTTCACCAAGGTAATCCAAGCAGTCTTCATCCCATAAGCAGATCTGAAGGCAGATTGGAATGGATGTATATAATCCATCTCATCCAGGAGCTCTTGGAGCTGAGAAACCACCACACTCTTCAATATCTTGCACAGGAAGGGAACATTTGAGATTGGCCAGTAATTATCCAGTAACATAGAATTCAAGGAGGGTTTTTTTCAGCAACCATCTTAGTAAAATGGTTGCCATCTGGCCTGGTGCAGGGAGACATTCACGATTCCTAATTGTCTAGACACACACACACACACACAGAGTATCATGCAAGTTCTTCACAGCATTCTACTGTCTGGATTCTCTTCTCAAAGCAGCTCTGCTGGACAACACTGTATAGACACAAACATAGCAGAGAAGAATTCTTCTTTGCTGCCATCACTGCCACGGAGTAGACCTTCCAGTGTGCTCCAGCTCGTGTTCAGTTGGATTCACTCTGGTTTTCCACTGTTATCATTCTAGTCTCTGTCCTACTCATTTTACCATCCCCAACTCCATAGTAAACCAGGAAGCCAGTTTGGCTCAACTCTGTGGGAGGTGACACTTAGGAATAATCGTGTCTACCACCTGCACTTTTACCATTCCAGAGGTGAATCAGGTGTTTGACAAGATCACCTGCTGAGTGACAGAAAACTTTCCAAGAGCGGCTAGGAAACAATTTGGATCCATCAGCCTCCTGGCATGGACTATCTTAAAAGGTCCCCAAGCGAGGCAGAGGTTCTGATTTCAGTGAATCTAAATCTGACCTAGTAATGATCTACCCATGAAAACAGAAGTGAAGAAAGTTCTACACCCATATCACCATGACCTCCCTCAGTACAGAAAACCAGATTAAATCTGGCATGGGTGGGCTGGATACTGTTTGGGATATACTCATAGTTGTCATGGAGGACATGGAGTTGTGAGCCACTTCTAACAAAGTCATCTTGGCCAAGGACATTGAAGTTCTAAGCACAACAAGCAGTGGCAGATCCAGCACAACCTCTGACACTAGCTTGGCTAGCACAGGTATGGAGACTATTGAGCAGCAGGGTGGATGATAACCAACAGAATCCCTGTTCTACTCTTCCAGATTTTATTCAAAATTTATTTTAAAATCCAGTGAAAATAAGGTAAATAAATTCATATATGACTATAAGGGTAGGATCCTATGCTATTTACATATCTATCATGTATGGAATTTGGGTTCCAATACACATAGGTGGTTTGGAGGAAACAATGTTTTCAGAACTATATTGAACTATATTCAGTAGACCAGTGGCAGGCAGTCTTATGCCCTCCAGATTACAGTCTCCATAATCTGTGAACACTGGCCATACTGGTCGAGCTGATTGACATTGTAGTGCTGTAATCTGGTTGACACTGTTGGGTAGAAAATACAATGTGAATAAGACATTGGCTAGAATTCTACTGCTGTTCAGTTAACGTTTTTGTAATTTGCCAGAGCTAATTATGGCTAATTGGCAAGGTGCCAAGGTATATCTCAGTCACATGCCTAATTTCAAAAACAAGATACATCTCAGCACCTTCTCAGTTAATCAGTTAGACATCACAAATTGCACAAATCTTTTGTGAACACTACAATTCTGACCATCATCTGATTGTGTCATTATTATAACCTGGTATAAAGTTAAATACTCACTTTCCTTTCTAGGGATCTTATACTGTTGACCAGCTCTTGTGTTAAACAATCCCCTTAAGAAAGATTTGTTAGTAATTTTATCTGTGTGTTGATAATTGAGAGGCCAAAAGGAAAGGAAAAAATCTCTGTTAGCCTGAGGGGTGCTGCTTAGGAAATAAACAGAAGGGAAAAGTTCACTTCAACCTTCAGTTCCTCCAATGGCTTCTATCTCATTTCAAATAAATTATTAGGCATATTGTTCTAACTTTCTAGGCTGCCCAGGAATTGGCTGGCCACTAAGCAGTTGAAGTATGGCTAATAAGAACATAGCCAGATTAGTTTTTACCTGATTAGTTTCTTGTCACCACAATGGTTAATTGTAGCCTTGAATTTTTTAAAAAAATTATTTATTAAACAGGATCCTTTGTTAGCTGTAAACTGCTACAGATAGTGAGGTTAAGCATAGTTAGATTCTGCAAGACAAATATGTTCCAAGAAAGAGGAAGCATTTAGTTCAATTTCAGCTCTTGATTGCTTAAACATGATTAAGCATTAATCTGCCTAGTCTTATGTTGTAAAGCATTGGTCTGCTAAAAAGAATACGCATAGAAATAGACCTGATTTCTTCATATTTATTTGATGTAAAAAAGAGAGAGAGAACTCTTCAAAATGAATATTTGAAACATGAATATGAAATCTTGTAGACCACTCCTCTGAATTCTCTAGTATACTGTATTTCTCATTACACTTGCACTGTATTCATTCTACCACTTTAGTCACGATATGATGTTGTAATTATGATGTTGTAATGATAACTGGTGATCCTGAGTCTAACAACAAAATAACATTTAAAAAAAGGATGGGGGATGGATAACTGTTGCTATTAGCAGGCATTTACTTCTCCTTTTGTGTTTTACAACTTTGTGTAAGTATACTCCCTTATCAGTGAAGACAATGTTCAAATGCCATATTTTACACATTACTTTTTTTATAAATAGTGTGGTGGTTCTATTAGGTTAATTGAGAGTGGGCTACTACCAAATTAATGTGCATAGCATTATAACATACTTTTTAATGGGATGCCACTTATTTTTCTTTCTAAGAGATTCAAGAGGCTGCAGATATTGTATTTATTTATTTATTAGATTTTTTAACCCCGCCCTATGAAGTATCTTCCTATACTTTCTCTCTTAATAGAAGTTTATTTTCTTACATGTTGCTATTTTTCAAACATTGTTTGCTGCATGGGAAAGAACAGGAACTTAAATAAGAGTAAAAAATTAATGCTATTGTTGTTTGTTTTTGTTCCTCTGTGATTGTTAATGTTATTTCACAAAAGAGTTAGGACCATTCCATCTGTGTTTGTGTCACATGGAATGAAATCACAACAGAGGGGAGACTGAAATTCTCAGCAGTTTTGGGTGAAGAGCAAAACAATGGCCAGCTTCTTGGTCCTGTGAAATTCTTTATTGTGGACAGTCTTTGGGTGGAGCTTGACAAGGAAAGAAGAGGAAAAAGGATACTGGATGCATCAGACAGCTTACTGATCTTGTCACCATGGCAGAAACAGTTAGAAGTGTCACTCCTGATTGCATTATCAAAGTCTTGTCAGAACATCTGCTCATAATGATAAGGACGTATTTCTGCCAGTGAGCTTTGCAATGATGTTTTATAGTAATTTGAAATCTGTTTCAAATTATGTATATGAAATCTTTTGTCATCTCAGTACTATATTGATACTGTCCTTTTCAAGGTAGATGAGAGATGAGTAAAATCTCTAAGTCTGATAAGGAGAAGATTCATTTTTTCTTTTTCTCTTAGTTCATTAGTTGCTATCTTCTTCGTTATTCTTCTATGTCTATACTTGATCTCACATGAGTTCTTTTAACAGCTTAGGTTTGTGTCTCAGTGGAGGATAAAGGGACCCAGGTGGCTGCGTTCAACTAATTTGAGCACCACAAAGCTCTTAATTGCACAAGAGCTAAAACAAATTTCATTTGTCTAAGCTTAAGTAATCTGGTCCATGGACAATGCACAGTTCTCAAAAAAAGTGACTCTTTGGAGCTTCAGTGCCCCAAATCCTCAAGAATGTATGGGCAGCAGTCATTCAGACTGAATGATTCTGAGAGATATTATCTAGAATGGCAATTTTCCATGTTCTTGCAATGCCTACTTGGAAATTTAAGAAACCATGATTTTCCTTTCAGGCTTTGTAAACTGTGTTTTGTTCATAATACAGTTTTGATGAAAACTAATTTGATTGGTTTATTTCCTGTTCTGTATCAATTACATTAGTCTCAGAATTTTTTAAAAAAGTTCCATTCTTCAATATTTCAGTTTTATTTATTTATTGGACTTATATACCGCCCCATAGCGCTACAAGCACTCTCCGGGCGGTTTACAATTTTTAATTATACAGGCTACACATTGCCCCCCCAGCAAGCTGGGTACTCATTTTACCGACCTCGGAAGGATGGAAGGCTGAGTCAACCTTGAGCCGGCTACCTGGGATTTGAACCCCAGGTCGTGAGCACAGTTTTAGCTGCAGTACAGCGTTCTAAAAAGTTCCGTTCTTCAATATTTCAGTTTTATTGTTCATACTTCAGTGTAAAATTTTATTATGCAGATACATATATTTCTGCTGAATGTCTATCTTATAGTTTGCATTTGAATCTTTGTTTTAGTACTGCTCTTCAGCTCTCTGTTTCTTCTTTGTAGATTGCTATGACTTGTAAGTTATTTGGAACTTGTGAGTTCTGTTTTCATCTTTTTCAGTATGCCTCCCTATCTCAGTAACAGTCTTTTCTTCATAGTTCATTACACCATTTGATCATATCCATCAAATTCTTTTCTTTAAAACCCAGTACATCAGCAGAACTTTAACTTAGGCAATATTATCTCAACTTCCGTCTCTCCTATCTTTGGACTTGCTGTTTCCATGCCTTCTACATACTTGTCCATTTTAGATTATTGTTTTATCCCCAGTCCTACTTTTGTCTTGATATTATTTGTGGACTGTATTAATATATACGTATTCTAAGTAGCACATAACACATGCTAGTAAATAGTAGTAACAGTACGAGTGATTTGAACTGATGTTTTATGTTTTAGGTAAGATATATGAGTGATATAATGTAACAGATACTCTATGTCAGGCTTCCTTGCTTGCTGGTTTCAAGTACAGTGGGGTCTTGACTTAAGAACGGCTTGAGTTAAGAACATCTTCTTTGTAGATTGCTATGACTTGTAAGTTATTTGGAACTTGTGAGTTCTGTTTTCATCTTTTTCAGTATGCCTCCCTGTCTCAGTAACAGTCTTTTCTTCATAGTTCATTACACCATTTGATTATATCCATCAAATTCTTTTCTTTATAACCTGGTACATCAGCAGAACTTTAATTTAGGCAATATTGTCTCAACTTCCATCTCTCCTATCTTTGGACTTGCTGTTTCAATGCCTTCTATATACTTGTCCATTTTAGATTATTGTTTTGTCCCCAGTCCTACGTTTGTCTTGATATTATTTGTGGACTGTATTAATATATACGTATTCTAAGTAGCACATAACACATGCTAGTAAATAGTAGTAACAGTACGAGTGATTTGAATTGATGTTTTATGTTTTAGCTAAGATATATGAGTGATATAATGTAACAGATATTCTATGTCAGGCTTGCTTGCTTGCTGGTTTCAAGTATGCAGGTTTAAGACTTCCATTCTAACCCTACTGAGGAGGCTTTCTTATCTGTGTAATAACTTTCATACATTCTAGCATGCCACGTTGAATGGTTGAAGAACCTGAAGAGTGCAGACAGCAAATTGGGTACATCAGTTCAGAGCTATGCCACTTGCCATTAAAAAAAAACAGAAGCAGGGAAGAGGGCAGTGTTAAGAATAGTAATGATTTCATGTGTCCTCCCGTTGTTCACTTTTCTGAAGTATCCCTGATTAATATGGGTTGATTTGAAATTTCTTAATTTGTTACTCACATGCAGCATTATTTGGACCAGAGTCCACACAGCACCTCAAATTGTTACAGTTCTCACCAGTGTCACAGATTTCCTCCTGTCCTTCTGTCCTCTGACATATATACTGCCCTTTTCCTGCCATGTCATTGTTGTTGTTGTTTTTTAATTGGCAGGTGACATAGCTTTGAATTGATGTAACAAGTTGTGAAACTAGTGTTTATTTGACATGGCACTACACTTGAAAACTATGTCACATGCTAAAAGTTTTTTTAAAGATGCCCTGATATCAAGCTCACCCTAGGACATACCTGCCTCTGCCCCTTTGAAGCAGTATAGGTGATCACACGTGCCAGAAATTGAAATCAAACGATACAAAAGAAATCTCTTTTTAAAAAACCGAACCCCTAGCTTCTGCCAGCTGAACAAAAAGTAACAGATGCCCATGAAAAAAGACAGGGCTTAATTGCAGTGAGTTGTACATCCTGTAGTTGATGGAAAATATGCTGAATTTAACCATGCCAACTCTGGCACAAACCGTTGGGTAAACTGCAGTGTGGTCCTATCCACAGTAGCCTGGTACTGTATAAACAGTATTTATTTATTTTATTTTATTTTATTTTATTTTATTTAAAATATTTTTACCTCACCTTTCTCCTTAAGAGGATCCAAGGTGGCTTACATCATTAAAACACAATATTAAAGCTACGAATAGTGAGTATAAGGTTACTAAAAAGGATAAAACAAATACCATAGTAAACACCATGATACTGTTTAGATTCTAGTTATCCATGGCATTTGTGTTAGTTAGGGATAGGCATACAGAAACCAGCTAAGGGTTCATTTTCTGCTCTCCAGGACTTTTGGTGAGCTGCATGGATTAGCAAATCTGCAAGTAAGCACAGTACTCCCAGAAGTGGTTAAAGTCCACTAGAATTTTGAATAATTGGTCCTTTGGAGTTAAATGGTGTCTCCCACCCCAGTGTATTTAAAAAGTGAATGGTAACATCTGAAGGTTTCCAACAGTCATAATTTATGTTGGGGGCAGGAAGGAGGAGGAGTGTACTTTGCCCACCAGTGGCTGAAATTGTGCACTTACATGATTTTCTTAGACACCACTCTCTTTCCTAGTCTTGCATTTAGTTATCTGATTGATGTTAAAACTAATCACTTAACATCAAAATGGTGTCCACTACCATGCTTAGAAATTAGTTTGCTGATATTGTGTAACTTTAATATCCATACATCTGTCATACAAAATTTTTGTTTCTCCAGACTTGATGAGAGAGAATGCTTGTGCAAGTGAGTGGAAGCAGATGAGTCCACCACTGAAGCACTTAATAACAGGACAAAGTCTTAAATAGTCAGGTAACATTAGGCCTGCATGGAATTATTTTTTTCTAACTCTGGTCTAGAAAGCTGATGGCTAAGGAGGTTCTTAATTTTAACTCAGTGTAAGATGGTGCAGGATTTCAGAACATTTCTCTTTTTGAAAACATTTACAGTTCTGATATCTCAAGAAGAAGGAGCATTTGTGAAGTAAAAGGTCCCAATGGCAGAACTATCTGCACACTTATCACAGATCCAGCATGGGCAACTGAGAGAGACGTCCGCTGACAACCATCTGACCAATACTGTACGTAAGAAACTTCTATTTTTACTGGCAGACTATCAACTATCACACTGAGTAGATTACATATGGGTAGTCATGATGCAGAATGGTACCGAAGAATTGTTTAAAAGTCCATTGTGTATGTTAAGCAAATTATGGTGTCTTGAAAGGGATGAAAGCAACCACAGAGAGCTAGTGTATATTGTGGGGAAACTGTCAGTAAGAGCTGAGAAAAGTCAGGGTTGAGATTCCCCATTCAGTAGGAATCCACTGGATTATCTATCCTAACTTTTAAAGTTGTTATGAAGATAAAATGGTGGAGGAGGCATACTGCCTTAAAAGGCAGGCTGTAAACTAGTGGTTCTTCGCTTTGTGTCCCTGGATGTTTTTGGAGTAAAACTCCCAGAAGCCTTCACCACTAGCAATGCTAGCCAGGATTTATGGGAGTTGTAGTCCAAGAACATCTTGGGACCCAAGGTTGGGAAGCACTGCAATAAACATAGCAAATCGTGGTGGAATCCCTTTGCCATAAGTCATGCTGTGTAAGGCTTATGATGTCAGAAAGTGGGAAATATGTATGAATATTCCTCTTTGATCTGCAGTCTTTTGAAGCTTGCTTCCAAAATTTGTACACTATGGTAACACTAGTGAGATTAAACTTTACATGAAAAGCTTTTACCCTCTTTTTATTCTCTCCGTGTTTCCCCTGGCTGCAGTTATAGCATAACTGTACACTGTACACCAGAGTTTTTGTCAGCTCTTTTCATTTGTGCTGTATGGTCAAATTTGAGAAGGCTATAGTGCAGTAATGAAACAAACTTTCTTGTAAATTACTGTCCATATAATCATGTAACTATTATATTCCCATGTGGTTCCTTGTCTTTTTTGACCACTTGGGTCCATCTTCCTCCTTATTGAACATAATGAAGACAAAGAAATCATGAGTGGTCTGTTGTATTGTTAAATGTCACATAAAATTCTATGGACTAACTTTTGAGGGGGGTGGATTATAGAATTATACCAAAAGAAAGGCTAATTTGCATTGAAGACAGTGTAGAGTGACTAAATATTCTCTAACATTTTGATTTTAAATTTTACTTAAAATATATATTGAGCTAGATAAGATCTGAGAGAATTTATTTTGGATGAGGCTAGTTTTTGTTTAAATATGGCAGATAATGTAATGTAAAGGATTCTACTTCTCTCTGTAAGCAACTAAGAGGCTGAGGTGCATGCCAGTGTTCCACAGCTATCTAGGAAGCCAAGATAAGCCAGCACCACACATCCAAAGATACATAAATTGCTCATTTAGCTTACTCAGCTTTATTGAGGGTCATAAAGCAATGTGTTTTCATTATGTATGAGACAGAAGTCACCATCAGATTCCTTTTCTCATATCTCTGACAAAGTTGAACACCTTGTGAATTGTTGTTGTAGGAGTACGTTCCCAAAGATCAAACTTTTCCTGGCAAATTATATGGGAATTTCATGACAGTTCCGTTGTCATTTGAATGCTAAGTGCTAAGGTCACTATTTAACTATAGCTGTTCAAGGAACAGTCTGTCAGCTGCTAGCAAACTGTTCTTTTTTTCATTGGACCGTGTCTTTGTGGACTGGTTCCCAGTCTTTCCTGCTAAATCTGATTCTTTTCAGGCTTTTCCTTCTGGCTTTACCAGTAATGCTATGATTTCATTACTTGGGGAAAGTACTGTTCTTCTAACAGTTGGCAGTGTTGCACTACTATGTTTCCCTGAAAATAAGACAGGGTCTTATATTAATTTTTGCTCCAAAAACACATTATGGCTTATTTTCAGGGGATGTTTTATTTTTTTCCATGTACAAAAAATCTACATTTATTCAAATACAGTCACATCATCTTCTGGTTAATGCATAGGGGTAGGGGGGGGGGTTTTACTTAACTGGGGCTTATTTTGGGGGTAGGGCTTATATTACGAGCATCCTGAAAAATCATACTAGGGCTTATTTTCAGGCCCAAGTGCCCAAACTGGGAAACAGGGTATATCTACAAAAAATGGAAATAAAGAGTCCTAACATTTTTGGTGTCAGTGTTATAAACAATATTTTGATTCCCCACTGTGCCTCCTACAAGAAGAGCGAACCTGTGTGATCATGAATAAGCTGCACAGCCCAAAATAAAAGAATATTAAACCATTTTTGAGTATTCTTAGTCTTAAACAGAAACATTTTGTCCCAAAAGTTGTTGCTGTTATTTTTCTTTTTTTTCTTTTTTTTTTAATCAAAACAAATGCACTAACAAAGCTCTGAGTGTGATAGACATATAAACTAGTTCAGTGATGGTGAACCTTTTTGAGCCCAAGTGCCCAAACTGCAACACAAAATCAACTTATTTATTTCAAAGTGCCAATATTGCAATTAAAAACTGAATGGTGAGGTTTTAGCTTAGAAAAAAATAACTGCTCCTGGACTGCAAGGGTTAAATGCTTGTGGTTTTTTTCCCCCTATGGGTGGTATTAACAAAGAAATACTTACTGGTCCTCCAATCCCCCATTGGGCTAGACTGGTAATGGTCGCCATTGCACCCTTCTGCTGAACCAGTGCACCAGCAGAGGGGAGTGCCAAAATCCGGGATCAAAGGATGGGTAAGTATTTCTCAATGGCAACTTATGTCTCATGTGTCCAAAGAGAGGCATCTGTGTGCCAGCTGTGGCACACGTGCCATAGGTTCACCATCACTGACCTAGTTGATAACAGATGTGTGCAGAATCAAGCTTTCTCATAGAAATCTTATTTTTCTTATTATGTGTCAGCTGAGACAGCAGGCCATTGGTGAAGGTATTTTTGGGCAGGGAAGGATATTCAATGCTTTCATCATCTTTTAGAAGATTTGTCTCCTGTGGATATTAGTAATAATGACTTGCCGTCAAGTCAATGTATGGCAACCCTTTTCTAGAGTTTTCTAGATATGGAGTACTCAAAAGTAGATTACACTTCCCTTCTTTTAGGGGTGTTCTAGGACTGTGCAGTTTGACCAAGGCCAAATAGGCTGTGGTTTTTTTCTCCTGGGAGGCATAGCGAGGAATCAAACTCCCAACCTTTAACTCCACAGCTGTGCATCAGACATGCTGAGCTATGTGGCTAGTGCTGCATTACTAAAAATAAAGGTTCTTCAGTTCACTAAATTCTCATTTTGATTTTCTGAACAAGTCCCTACACATACATCTCTTGTGTCTTGAAAGATAGTAAGCCCTTTCTCACATTAAAGGTGAACTTCTACTACACAAAAAATGATCACAGTGGCAGGCATGATTAGAAAGAGTTCAGCAATTGTCTTTAAATTTTTTTAATGCAAAATAAATTATAGTGCAACTAATCCAAAAATCCTTAAAACATAAAACCACAAAACCACACAGTAATACAAAAGTTCACCTCTTTACTGAGACCATATGTGGACATAACCAATCTGTTCCCTTTCCAAAACTGCATTGATTTTTGTGAAGGCATGCAACCCTTCCCTTTTTAAAAACACAAACTCAGTACAATCTCCCCATATATCAATAAATATATCCTTATGTAACAACTTATTCTTAATTTTCATATTATACATTAATTTATCATAAACAGCTATATTCCAAACTTCATCTTTTCCAATCAATCTTTTAATCTAATAACTTGTTTCTTTTTTAATAAATTTTCCAAACTCTCTTTCAAATTTTTGGAAAATTTTCTAACTGCTACTGGATATAATGGAGAAATTAATGAGGTGAATGTTTTTCTGTACTTACTCCAAATTTGTAACATATTTTTAAGAAAAGAGATTTCAATTTTTTTTAAAACCATAATCTTATTATCTTGTTTAAAAAGAATATGTTCAAGATACCCACCAATGTCCTGTAATTCCAATGTTTTCGTTTCTGTCTTTTATATAACTGACCTCCAACATTCTTATTTCTTCACACTTTTTCATATACCGTATGTTTTTAATTATATGATTCCTTAATATGTAAGCCTCTCATAGACAATTTTATTGTTTCCCATACTAAACTCTTACTGCCACCTTTTCTGTCGTTAATTCCCCATACTTCCATCATTTCTTTCTCCACTTTCTCTATTATATTTTATGCTGAAAAATACTTGTATCTATCTCCATCTTTTAGCTTCTCTGTAACCATATCTTATTTTAATATCCATATTTTAATATCCAGTACCTTTAAAGTGCCTGATGATGATTGCATGTCGTCAAGTCAGTTCTGACTTATGACTACCTTTTTCAGTGTTTTCTATGTACTGTACTAAGGTACGTACTAAGAAGTGTTTTACCATTTTCTTCTCCAAGGGATGCCCTAGAATCTGTGCAGCTTGCCCAGGGCCACACAGGCTAGCTCTACTACATCAATTTTAATCACTTTAAAAAAGTAAATTGTTAGATACAAATATAGACTCTATCCTAGAATAGCATTTATGTACTGGAAAATAAAAAGTAAACAGCAGGGGAGATACCAGAATCAGGAGGGGTTCGACAGTTTTCATGTGGCTATTTCATTGTGTACCACAATGCACAAGTATTTACTTACTACACTGGCTTCCCATGAGAGCCCAAGCTGACCATAAATGGGATTCTTTGAGGGGTCATAGAAGATCTGAGGTCCATAGTGTGACAACATTTTGAGAAACTTGGACAAGATATCCTGCTGTCCTTCTGCTGTCTTCTGCATCTCCGGTTGGGTGAAGAGGAATCGCCACATTCCCAGGAGGTTTTCCTGTCCCTGTTCCAGGCTTTCAGGACCATTGCTTTGAGTTTGATATTACCTCTATATTTGGCAGCTGATGAGGCTGCTGTTAGTAATCACTTTGAAGTTACCAGGTTCATTCTTGCCCCCAGACCTGCAGTCAAAGGTTTAGTTCAAACTTTTTTTTCAAGACTTCTAACCGCGTATGGAATTGAGGAATCTGTTCCTTTGCTTCTGCTACAGGTGGCATCTCTGACCTGTGATCTGTTTAATGCTAATCAGGTAGGGATTTGTGTTTTGTGCGTAACAGAACAAAGTGCAAAAATAGTGACACAGTTACTTGTCATGTTAATTGCACCTTTGTTCAGATACATCATTCCAGGTACAGTGGTGCCTCGCTTAGCGATTGCTTCGTTTAATGATGTATTCGCTTTGCGATGGGTTTCTTTGAGGAATTTTCAGCATCGTTTAACGATGTTCTCTATGGGGGAATTTCACTTAACAATGTCTGTGTTTGCTCATTTTTAAGTGTCTTACAATGTTTGGAACATGTTTTAAATGGTTGGAATAGTTAGTCCACCTTGTGAAACCTATGCACACTTAGTTTGGCTTTCCTCTGAGTCACCAAAAATTAACGAAGACTCAGAAGAAAGCCAAACTAAGTGTGCATAGGTTTCACAAGGTGGACTAACTATTCCAACCATTTAAAACATGTTCCAAACATTGTAAGACACTTAAAAATGAGCAAACACAGACATTGTTAAGTGAAATTCCCCCATAGAGAACATCGTTAAACGATGCTGAAAATTCCTCAAAGAAACCCATCGCAAAGCGAATACATCATTAAACGAAGCAATCGCTAAGCGAGGCACCACTGTACCTGGAATGATGTATCTGAACAAAGGTGCAATTAACATGACAAGTAACTGTGTCACTATTTTTGCACTTTGTTCTGTTACGCACAAAACACAAATCCCTACCTGATTAGCATTAAACAGATCACAGGTCAGAGATGCCACCTGTAGCAGAAGCAAAGGAACAGATTCCTCAATTCCATACGCGGTTAGAAGTCTTGAAAAAAAAGTTTGAACTAAACCTTTGACTGCAGGTCTGGGGGCAAGAATGAACCTGGTAACTTCAAAGTGATTACTAACAGCAGCCTCATCAGCTGCCAAATATAGAGGTAATATCAAACTCAAAGCAATGGTCCTGAAAGCCTGGAACAGGGACAGGAAAACCTCCTGGGAATGTGGCGATTCCTCTTCACCCAACCGGAGATGCAGAAGACAGCAGAAGGACAGCAGGATATCTTGTCCAAGTTTCTCAAAATGTTGTTTGGTGTTTTACTTACTTTCTCTTTGGCTTTTCTAAGCTAGAGTCTGGAACATAGTTTCTTTTCTTGAGTGCTTCTTTTGTTCCCATTTTGTCGTCATTTATAAAGGTCTTGGTATTATTGTGCCCATAATAATGTGTTTCTGCTTTTTAAAGTTTACATTTATTTATATGTACTGTATATTTATTTGATCTATGTACCACCTGTCTAGCAAATTGCTACTCTGGGTGGTGTACAACAAAAATAAACATAAATTATGCAGTTAATGTAAACATTAGGGTATCCTTGTGTAGAATATGCTTGGGATAAATTTGTTTGAATATGTCAACAAATATTTTCATAATTTCTTTAAATAGAAATTAATTGATGTTTAACAGATGGTAATGCTTCTGTTTCTCCCCAGAACAAGAAATGTAGAATCACTTTGCAGAAACAAAACCCAACCTTACATTAGAGGTGGACAGATGTGGTGTTTTTCAATTCTAACTGCCATATTCTTTCACTGTGTTTGTTGGCTAAGAATCATGGGCTTGCAAGCCAAAAACATCTGGAGGAGCATAGTTGCCAGTCTCTACACTACAGTGATTCCTCAGTAGAGATGGGCACAGACCGCCAGTTCAGTGGTTCATGCCAGTCCAGCAGATGACTGAAAATGTGTTCTGTGGTTCAGCAGTCAACCCCCTCTGGCAGCCGCCAAGTCAAAGGCAACACCCAGAGGAGGTGGGACTGGAAGCCATAATGTTGCTTCCAAGTGGGGCGAAGGGCAGGGCCCCAAACTGGAACTGAAAATAGTTTGGCTGTCTGCTAAACTGATGTGAACCACCATGGTTCATAACCATCTCTATTCCACAGTAATTCTCAGGAAATTGAAGGCTTATATTCCACTCAATTTCTGTGACCTATGCTTTCTCCTCCAACCCTACAGATCTTGCTAATTTCCAGAGAATTGTATTAATTGAGTGTTTGCCATCATATTGTGAATTATTTTGTCCGTGTAATGTATTAATTTTTGGAACACTTCTGCATACAAGCTAATGCTTCATATGTTTTGAGGTTTCCACTGATAACGTGGGTCATGGTTACAGCACTTTGAAATTTTGGCATGAGGTCTTCACTGTTTTGCCCTGCCAAAATTCGATGTACTGCTGCATGTATTTTATGGATGTGCTGTAATTGTTTATGTAGGTCAGCCAAATTGGAATTGTATGCTTGCCCCTTCCAAAGGGCAAGTGAATAGGCAAGGATAGTGGGTACAAGTAAATATGTTAGCATTGAGAAGGATGGAGAGGCTAAAGTCCAACCTGTTATCCATTACTCATTTTAAGTACTTGGGATCCATCTGCTTTAGGGGTTGCCAAAAACTATAGGAACAGTTCTTGTTGAACAACTTACTCATCAAACTGAGCTACACAAACAGTGTTGAAAACATATTTCATTAAAATATATATCTCACCCATGTTCATGAAAGAAATAAAAATCTAACCTTTTTTGTAAATATTCTTACTGTTTTTCTCAAGAGACTGGCACTTATTATTAGCATCCAAAGGGATGTCTTCCAGTTTGCACTACTTTTACACAGTGCTAAGTAAAAAGTGAGATAGTCTACTTATGCATTTTGGCAACATCATAAGTTTCCCAGTCTAGTAAGATTAATTAATTTAATTTGCTTAAGATACTTAGTTACCCTTAATGATATCAGCATATAGTAAAATCTGACAATATAGGCTATAAACGTCATGATGTTAACCTGTTCAGTTCAGAATTCTAGATTGGTTGTGATCAGCTTTGTGACTAATGACTAATTGAGTTAAATATGATGTATTGAGAAGAAGAGAAAACAGTACAGCAGTAAGGAAATAGTACGGACAGAATGTGGAAAGCAGAGTATTCCCACAATTCAAATTTTGTTCAGGAATAATTTGAACCTCAACCCCAAAACATTCCTATCAATAAAAAAGGGGGAGATGTTTGACTGAGATGCTGAATATATGAAACAGTTCATTTACTTCATGCCATGAAGCTCTTCAAAGTATAAAGGGTGGTACAGTGGAACCTCGATTTACAAACGTCCTTACCTATGAACATTTTGACCTACGAATGGCTCCGTTCGCAAAAATTTGCATTGACTTGTGAACGCAGCCTCAACCTATGAACAAAAAAAGGCAGGGGAAAAGGGTGGTGAAGAGGCTGCTCTTTTGCCCCAACAGTTAGGAAAAGGGACCCCCAGGAGGTCTCCAAATGGCGGCAGGGACCCCAGGAGGTCTCCCAGGGCTTCCCCACCGCCATTGGAGACCTGGTGATCGGCACCTCCGGAGGCCTCCTGGTGGTCTGATCGCAGCGGCGGCAGAGCAATTTTAAATTTCCCGCCCTTTTCTGCCGCCGCGACCGAACCCCAGGAGGTTTCCCAGGGCTTCCCTGCCCCCATTGGAGACCTCCTGGGGGTCCCAAGCCGCCGCCAATCGCTGCTTTCAGGTTTTCCGGGGGGTAGACCGGGCCTACCGGGGAGGGCTTCCCCTGGTAGGCCCGGTCTACCCCCCAGGAAAGCCTGAAGGCGCTGATTGCGGTGGTGGGGGACCTCCAGGAGGTCTCTGATTGCGGTGGGGAAGCCCTGGGAGACCTCCCGGGGATCCCCCACCGCCACGATTGGAGGCAGTGGTCACCCAGCACCGGGAGGCTTGAGCTGGCCGGGTTTCTTCAACTGCTCGCTTCCCGGCAAACCTCCTCCTCGCCACCCTCCTCCATTTGAATTTCCTGCCATCGGCCCATGGAGGGTGGTACAGAGCAAGTGGAAGGTGAGCAGTCAAAGAAACCCGGCCAGGCTCAAGCCTCCCAGCGGCAGCGGTCACAGCAGCAGTGGAAGCCTGGGAGGCTTTGGACGGGTAAGGTGCTCCTTTTTCCTTTTTAAAAAACTGTTCTGGGTGGGTTTTGGAGGGTGGGTTTGGACGTTATGTTTCTGTGCTGTGTTGTCTTGTTTTTGGATATATATATATTTTTTGGTAGTCCCAGCGTGGAACTTGCTCTGTTGTATTTTTATTTATTTATTTTTAAATGCTGGAACGGATTAATCCCATTCCCATGTATTTCAATGGGAAATGGTGCTTTGACTTACGAATGCCGTTCCAATACGGATTAAGTTCGTAAGTCGAGGTACCACTGTATAGTAGAAGAGAGACTGACTGCCAGTTCATTAAATACAGGAGAAACCCTGACTTACAACAGCTTTTATTACAACCCTCTGCTTTTACAGCCTTTCCAATATGAGGCAATGCCTTCCCATCATTTCAAACTCACTTTTATGAATGCTGTGGCCAGCACTGTACATCACTAAGCACAACAGCAATAGAGTGGACTTTGGAGGAGGAAGAGAGGAGACAGTAGAAGCCAGAAAAGAGCACCAAGCAAGCAGACCAGTAAACAAAAGAATGAGGAAGGACAAAGATGAAAAGATAGTGGAGGTCAGTGGGGACTGCCTAACAAGGAAGCTAGAGGTTGGAAGTAGAGTGGAGATGTGAGAAGACAGAAGAACTCAGAAGGCAATTCCCAGCAAGCAAGCTAGAGAGAGAAGGTGGTGCAGGGAAGAGAAGGCACAGTAGAAGTCAGAGGAAGAGCAAGACAGAAAGAGGAGATGTGAGAGAAGGGAGACAATAACAGAGGTTTCATTTATAGGGCATGACAATGCTCAAAAAAACTAAACCCCTATTTTAACAAAAATCTTAATGGAAAAATAGGGTTCAACTTACAGTGGTACATTTTGCAAATCATCATTGAAGAGCCAGTTAGCTTATAAGTTTTGGATTCCACTGTAGTGCTGCTTGCTTGTCTGATAGGATATGGAGGAGAGCTTCCTACATCCTTGATTTAAGTCCATTTGTCTATTAGTAAGAAGCATATGGATCCTAAAGCATTTGACAATCTTATCCAAACTTTTCTCCCAGTTGCTGACTCATCTTTTTCTCCATTTGTGGATAACTGCATTGAATCTGAATATTGTAGACAAACTGTATAGCTTTTCAGATTTTAATTTGGCATTTATTCATGGAAATGATAGACAAATATAACACATACAAGCAGTTAATATGTGTATTATTACTGCAGTTACCAGTTCCAATGCTGACTGTACTTGCTACAATTTACCTTTTCAGTTCATTCATAATTACACAGATACTCTTTCTGTTACTAAATTTTTATAGCATGATTGTTGTCATTAATTATCCTTTTTTTATCTTACTATAGTTGTGGCTGAAAATGCTGTGTTTGTCTTTAGATCTTCATGCTGCATTATCACTTTATTACATGCAGTACCCTTTGTAATATATTTTTATTCTCCTTGTGTCCTTCTGTTTGGGACCCCTGGTTGTTTTCTATTCGTGTTCAAGCCCACAACCAACTAAACTTTAGAACTGCATAATACCAGATGTTTACAACAGAGAATCATGATCTGCCCTGAAGGTACTTACAGGGGTGGAATTTTAAAAATATATTTATAGAACGACAATGTTGAAAGACGACGTCAGGAGACCAGTGATCGGAGACGCCGTGATAATCCTGATTCAGCATCTAATGGGCAGCCACAACACAGCACTCGCCAAGTGGTGGAACAAGATGATGACGATGAGGAGGAGCTAACACTGAAATATGGGGCAAAGCATGTGATTATGCTCTTTGTGCCTGTCACACTTTGCATGGTGGTTGTTGTTGCAACTATCAAGTCTGTCAGCTTCTATACACGCAAGGATGGACAGCTGTATGTATTACATTTTCTCTCACTACTTTTTCTTGCCATTAGCTGTACAGTAGTGTCCTTTTCTGCTGCTGTGCTGTTCTTTGTAGGTCTAGCTATGATGGCGGTAGGCTTGTATTTAGAACATCAGTCATAGCCAAACAGGAGTGTGAAGGCAATTTATTACAGAGACAGAAAGAAACAGCTTTTGACTCTTGTTTGTGCTTTCTCTTAATTATCTCTTTCCTCTAGTTACCTTTTTGTCTGGCTAGGCTCAGAGACCTGAACAGTGAAAAAAATGGGTAGAGGCATTTGGAAGAGAGGAATTCAGCATCCTTTATGTCCATGCTTCTTCTCCACTTTGAATTGCTTGCTTCTGTTTATTCATCTCTAAAATATATACCGCTTTAAATAATAATTAGTCATTGGTTGAAATCCAGCATGTCCCTGTGCCAAGACAAAGTTTCTGTCGGCATACAAGAGAAGATTGTTCTTTTTTTCTTCCTGCCCCACATACCCTCCCAAATCTGCTTCTGAGGTTCCCCAGCCATCTGTAGCAGGTTGAGAGATGTGTAGAGAAGGGGAAAGCACCACCCAGCCTACTCTCATGAACAAGGTGTCAAAAATTGCGTATTTGGATTTCAAGCTTTATTATCCCATGAAAATCTTTAAAAATTATAATTGTTCTTACTGTCTTGAATTTTAAAAATGTACAATTAATTTTAAAACCAAAATTATTGTACTCCAAAAACGTAACTTTTTATTACATTTACTTAAAGAGGAAACATTTCTGAGTATAGTCTTATTAAAATCTCTCACAGTGGATGAACTCCCATTACCAGAGTTACAGTCTTTTGGAGTTTTAATTTTGAATGCAGAGCACAGTACGTTTGCTTGACTTGCTCATATTTTCTGTGTTTGCCTGTACAGTGGTACCTTGGTTTACGAACACCTTGGTTAATGTAATTTTCGATTTACGAATGAATATCCATTGAAAATAATGCCTCACTTTACAATTTTTTTGCCAATACAAAGCAAGTTTACCCAGGATGCATTGCTTCTGGGAGGTTTATAACGCTGCCCCCATGCACGCATTCCTATGGGAAACTGTGTTTCAGTTTGCGAATTTTTCATAATACAAAATGTCCCAGAGAACGCATTGAATTCATAAACCAAGGTCAAACTATAGTTGTAATCTCAGCATTGAATGATGTAATTCATTGGGTAGCCACTAGATGGTGTATACATAAAGGTGCTGTTTAGAATTAAGTCTTAAAGTATGTACTGTGTTTTAAAATGGTAGTTGATTCACTTAACTTTCAGAAAATGTATCACCAGAAAATGTTTCAGTTGATATATGTTGGGAAGCAAATTCTGCTAAGTATGGCCCTTCCAAGAAATTCCTGACTTGTGTGGCTGATAATGTTCTCCTACAAAAGTGGAGAAAGAAACTAGAGGATTTGCTATCCTTGACTTGATTCTGACCAACAAAGATGACTTGGTGGGGAAAGTGTCAGTAAGGGGAACTCTAGGTGAGAGTGACTATGTCCTTCTAGAATTCTTGATTTCAAAGGAAACAAAAGCAGAGTGTAGCCACACACGTCTGCTGGATTTTAAAAAAGCCAATTTTCATAATCTCAGAACAAGGATAAGTAAGGTCCCACGGCAGGAGATCCTAACAAGAAAAGGAGTCCAAGAAGGGTCGGAGCTTCTTAAAAAAGAAATTCTAAAGGCACAACTAAAAAGAGAGGTGGCAATGGAGATGGAAAAATGATAACAAAGAAAAGGCAGAGGTGCTCAATTTTTATTTTAGTTCAGTCTTTTCCCATAACACAGACTATGATTGAATGAGGAACGTGGAAGTGGGGGTGGGGGACAGGATTGCAGCTTGGAGGAGATAAACAGTCAAGGAATACCTTACCACCTTGAATGAGTTCATATCTCTAGGGCTGGATGAGCACTGAAGGAACTGGCTGAAGAACTCTCAGAAACAGCTATCCTTTATTTTCTTGAAATCATGGGAAATGGGTGAGGTGCCAGAGGGTTGGAGGAAGGCCAGTGTTGTCCCTATCTTCAAAAAGGGCAAAAAGGAGGAGCCTGGGAACTACAGGCCAGTCAGCCTGGATCAATCCCAGGCAAAATTCTGGAAGAGATTGTTAAGCGATCATTTGCAAGCACCTAGAAAACAATGCAGTAATAACTAGAAGCCAACAAGGATTTGTCAAGAACAAATCCTGCCAAACTAATTTGATCTCGTTTTTTGATCAGGTCACCTCCTTGATAAACAGAGGGAATGCTATTGACATAGTATATCTTGACTTCAACAAAGCTTTTGAAAAAGTGTCCCATGATACTCTGATTAGTAAGCTAACTAGGTGTGGGCTGGAGAGATCGTGTCAGGTGGATACACAATTGGCTAAAGAATCATATTCAGAGGGCGATGATGAATAGGTCCATCTCTAACAGGGAGGAGGTAACAAGTGGGGTACCCCAAGGTTCAGTCATGGGCCTGGTGCTATTTTATTAATGGCTTGGATGAGGGAGTGCAGGGAATGCTTGTCAAATTTGCAGGTGATACCAAATTGGGTGGAATAGCTAATACCCTAGAACTGGGGTCCAAAACTCCCAGTCCATGGCCTGGTACCGGATCGTGTCTTTAGCAGGACCGGGCTGCAGAAGCAGATCTCCTGCCCCAATGCACGCATGCCCCCCATGCACACCCACATACATACATGTCTGCCCCACCCACCTGCATATGCACGCATGGGTGCCCCGCCAACCCGTGCATGTGAACATGGGTGCCCCACCCACCTGCGCATGCGTGCACGGGTGCTCTGCCCACCAGCACATGGACGCACATGGGTGCTTCGCGCACGAACCACCCCTCACCCAACCGGTCCACGGTTCGGAAAAGGTTGGGGACCACTGCCCTAGAAGACAGAAACAAAATTCAAAATGACCTTGATAGGATGGAACACTGGGCTGAAAACAACAGAATAGAATTCAACAGGGACAAGTGCAAAATACTGCACCTTGGAAAAAGAAACCAATTGCACAGTTATAAGACGAGCAAAACTACGAGCAAGAAGGATCTTGGAATTGTCATAGATCACAAGCTAAATATAAGCCAACAGTGTGATGAGGCTACAAAAAAGGCAAATTCTATTATAGGCTGCATTAAGAGAAGTATAGTTTCAAAATCTCGTGAGGCGCTAGTCCCCCTCTATTCAGCACTGGTTAGGCCTCACCTTGAGGATTTGTCCAATTCTGGACACCATACTTCAAGAAGGACACTAACAAATTGGAACAAGTTCAGAGGAGGGCAGCAAGGATGATCAGGGGGCTGGAAACCAAGCCTTATGCGGAAAGTCTGAAAGAATTGAGCATGTTTAGCTTTGACAAGAGAAGGCTGAGGGGTGATATGATAGCATTTTTCAAATACAGAATTTGAAAGAGGAGGGGCAAGATCTGTTCTCGATCATCCCAAAGTGCAGGATACACAACAATGGGCTCAAGTTAAAGGAAGCCAGATTTTGGTTGAATATAGGAAATACTTCCCACTGTTAGAGCAGTACAACAGTGGAACCAGTTACCTCGGGAGTTGATGAGTGCTCCAGCATTGGGTATTCAAGAAAAACTTAGATAATCAATCACCTGGCAAATATGCTTTGATTGTATTCCTGCATTAAGCAGGGGTACGGACTTAATGGCCTTGTAGGCCTCTTCCAGCTTCACTTTTCTATGATTCTATGATTCACTTAACGTTCAGAAAATGTGTCAGCAGCTCTGTATGACACCAATTTCCTGTTTTATATTTCTCTGTGCTAAATTTTAGTATCTACACACCATTCACAGAAGATACAGAAACAGTTGGACAAAGAGCTCTGAACTCTGTTCTGAATGCAGCCATCATGATCAGTGTCATCATTGTTATGACCATACTCCTGGTTGTGCTTTACAAGTACAGATGCTATAAGGTGAGCCCAAGTTTATTGAACCATGATCTCTCATCTGCTGGCTAGGAAAATACTGACATCGCTGCTTTTCTCTGTAAACTGAGTATACAGTTTCACAAGAATATACTTTGCAATGGAATGTGTTTTCTTTTATCTTTGTGTACCTGTCCATGAAATGGATGTCCAGAAATGAACATTAGTTTTCAATTTAATTTGAAGCTGTAGTAATGCTCTGCTATAGTTTAGTGTGATACAGTCCATGAAATAGTAAAATTAATAAGAATCAAAAATGAAACTGACTTTATCTGGCTTCTCAGCTGTGAGATGTCTTTTTATTTTTTAAACAGGCGGTCTTTTGGTCTATGTTCCCATCTGAAATCTACAGGAGTAGTTTATGCATAATAACCTTCTGACCCCAAATGATAGCTTTCTAGGTAAATACTGGGTAAATAGAGTACTCACCGCTTAAAATACTTTGTGAAGTAATGTCCTGGTTACCTAGCGTTGGTAACAAGAAATACTAATTAAGATGCATTCAAACTATGACACTGTTTCAGTCATAGAAGAAGTCACAAAAAAGCTTTCAGCGTTTTTTGTTTTGTTTGAAATATCTTTATTCTGTCATGTTGTCTTGTATTAATACTCGTAAATTATTTTTTCTGCCAGTAGTAGTAGCCAAGGACAGAGGTAGCTGTGTTAATTTGTTGGAGCAAAACCAAGGAATCTTGTGATACCTTAAAGACAAGCAAGTGTCATTCGTCATTAGTTTCTCTGGACTGGAGCCTATTCAGATGCATCTGAAGGCTACTGTACCTGAAAACGTATGCCAAGTAAAATTGTCTTTAAAATGCCACAAGACTGCTTGCTATTGTTGCTAGTATAAATCTCTTGATTCTTTTATGTGTTGCAGTCAAGTTTTAGCAGGCAAAATAGTGTGCGTGGCAACAAATTAATTAGTATGGATGCAGTTGTTAAGTGAGATATACTTTCTTGAGACCTGCACTCTTGAGACCTGCCTTGACATGCATGAACTAATTCTTTTCTGTGTGAGAAATGTATTATGAAAAACACAGATATACTATAGTTGTGTTGGAAAACAATTTCGCTTTAGCTGGTTATGTATAAACGTGTTCAGTAACAATATTTTTCTTAGTATTCATCTAGCTGAATGAGTTATTGTCCATAAGAACACACAAAGATAACGCTTGACACTGCTCTATTTTCTGTTTATATGAATGTCAATGTGTGTGTGTGAAAGAGAGAAAGTTAATTATGCTTTCCAGAAAGCAGATTAAAATACCCAGTCTTACCTGTGAAATCATTTTGGTTTATAATGACACACATTCATTACTTTCTTTGCTTATAAATTAATTAGCTAAATTTGGGTACTTCTAACAATGAGAGATTCATATGCTATGTTTCAGATGTTGATTTTTTTTAACCAACAGTAGTTTATCCCATCAAGGAGTTGAGTCATTTCAGTATCCATCTTACATTTAAAGAATGAGTTTTATTACATTTTATTCAAAATATAACTAGATCAAATGTGCTAAGATTTTTACTTGAATTTATTTTGTATTTTGAGCCATTCACATGTCTTAAACTTTGCCAAATTGTATTTTTTATTAACTGATATGGAAGAAGCATTCATAGTTCATGTACAATATGTAAATGCACATGTAAGATTCTTGAATTCTAGATCCATGAATAAATGCTGATGAAATTCATTCATTCATCAGTGGTTAATATTTACCATCATTATTGGAAAAACTTACCGACAGAAATCTGCCTGGCCCCCTTGCTGAGGGCTTTCAAGAGCAAACTAAAGGCCTTGCTCTACAAGCAGGCCTTCCCAACAGCCATTACTGTACTTAGCTTTACCTCTTCTTTTTCCTTTTTCCCCAGCTTAGACTCTTGTAGTAAAATTGGGCCTTCATTTTTTAATGCATTTATGTTTTAATTTATTATATTTGTATCCTTGAGTTTTGTATTCTGTGTAAACTGCTCAGAGTAGACATGTTCTAGATAAGTCTAATAAAATAAATAAATAAAATAAATTATTTCAAACTTTAATAATATAAAATTCATAATGCCATTGAGCACTGTAAGAGCTTAAGTCAAAATTTTAATAAAACTTTTAAGTCAGGACTGTATGTATCTGCATCACTGTGTTTCCTGAATCCTGTTTTCCCTAAATGCTTTGGGTAGAGGACATATCTCTCTCTTAACAAGATTTTTCCTTCTGAAATGTCAGGCAGGCAATATGCAATAGTGCTCTTGAGTCTATTCAGTTTATTCCAAATAATAGTGACTGCGATCCAAAGAATCTCATGCACAAGCAGAAAGCACATCATGGTTGGTCAGAGGAGTTGCCAGCTCTCCACATATACATGCCCATCCTGATATGCATCCTAGAACATTACACAACTCTCAGGAGCAGTTTATTAGCTGTATAAAAGGTTGCAGCAGAAGAGGCAGGCCCATAATCCCAGTCTTTTTTCCCGATTGCAGCCACTTGGATTTCCAGGAAAAGACTGGATCTAAACTCTTTTAAGAGACTTATTTTTTTAAAAAAAGCTATTTTAATACCAAATCTGAAGTAATCCATACTGATGTGCTTATGTTTCAGGTGATCCATGGATGGCTTATCGTTTCTTCTCTCTTCTTGCTTTTCTTTTTTTCTTTCATATATTTAGGGTAAGTTTACAGAAGTCTTGTGTTTTAGACTTGTTAAAAAACAGATGTAGTAAGACCCACCTGCCATTCTTGGATTCTGAAGTCTACACCCCTTGTGAAAAGAGCAAATTTCTAAATAAACCAGGGATAAAAGATACTGCAGTGTATGTGGGCAATGTATATGTGGCATTCCATACACACCTGTGAAAATCCAGTTGAATATCTACAATACTGTAAGTGCCATGGCATAACTCTAAGTTAATGGCACATGACTCAGAATTCATTTGGGGACTCACTAGCAGCTATTTGCCATTCTAAGGCTTATAATTATTTGGGTGTCGTCTTTCAATATAAAGGAAACCACAAGGCCCATGTTAACAATGTGGTACAAGCAGCACAAAAATCTAGCTTTGCTATGCTAACATTTTTCTATTCAAAGGGAGGTCAGTACATTCCAGCTGCACTAAGATTGTTTCAGGCCAAATCCCTTAGCCAGCTCTTATATGGGGCACAATTGGACCCCTATTCTTCATTTATCCAATTAGAAGTAGTTCAATCTAAATTTGTGAGGGCTTTCTTGCAAGTTCCAAGAGGGGTATCCAATGCAGCCCTTAGGCTTGAAGTGGGCTACCTCAAGGTTGAAGCCAGAACTTGGCTGGCTATTTTTAACTTTTGGCTAAAACTAACCTTTCAACCAATTGGACTGACCTCACTGATATTACAGGATAACCATCAGTCACCTTGGAAGAGAGCAATATACCATAAAATCAACAGATACGGCTATTCGGTAGAAAGTATCCAACAAATGGGATACGTTAAGACCAAGAGTAATCTTAGGCAGCGTATTATTGAGACAGAAAGGCAGCAGGACCTTGGTATCATCATAAATAGGCTTATACTTGACAACGCACTGCTCCCACCCAAAATGGCTGAATATCTCTACTTACCCTTAACACCTAAACAACGCAAAGCTCTCTTACTCAGGCCCGCTTCAATGCACTTCCGTCAGCAGTCCAGGAAGGGAAGTGTAACAACACCCCCTACACTCAGCAGATATGCCCCTGTAACTCTGGTGAGATCAAATCCATCTCCCATGTGTTACTTGATTGTGCTTTTTGTTCTGGCATTCGAGAAGTCCTTGTTAACCCTTACATAAGGGCATTTCCTCGATGATCAGAGGCACATTACACACTGCTTTTGCTGACAGGGTGATGCCCTGGCAGATATACTGGGCTAAACCAAAATTCAGATATGCTGACAAAAGTAGCTAAATTCTGTGCTGATGCAATCAAAATCTGTGAAGGAGAGGTTCCACCTGAAGCTATAGTATCTGTAAATTGGTGTATACCAATTTGGTATAATGATCACACGGGCTCTATGAGCTTCAAAGTACAGTAACAATTCTGTCATTCTGTGCAAGCTGAATAGCCCATAGATAAGGCCTATGATAGGGAGGTAGGAGATATTTAGCAAGCTGCATGAATGTCGTTTTATATATATATGTATATAGATGTTTTTAGTGTTTTAGATTGATTTTATGTATCCTAATTTAAATAATGTTCCTTACTTTTGCTGGTCAATGACCGTAATAAAACATTTATCAACCATTGCATTTAACACTGGGGTAAATATTCAGGTGGATTCTGGCCACTATAATGCCTAAAAGAGTGTACACATTTTGCAGGAAGAGTGGTGCATACATTCATAAATTTTCTGTCAATTCTTTTCTTAGAAATGAGCCTTAAACAGCATATTTTTTTCTAATAGTTCTCTGCTGATGGACCTATGAGACTTCAGTAATTAAGTATCTTTAGATCATAACAATAATGCATGGATTTGTATTTATGTATGAGAGACAGTAGCATACTTGTACTGCTTTCAGAAAATACATAACTCCATGGGTTCCAGGAAGACATAATATGGTATAGATTTGTTGTTCCCAGTAAAGAGAGATGGTGTGGCAAGTTGTGACACTACACTTGACAGCAAGACCTAGAACTTGATGCTTTGGCTTTGCTTTGTAGTCAGGATTGTAGAACAAGAAATACTACACTATTCCTTTAAAATCAATACTTGAAACATTAAAATTTACCCAGAAAATATATGTTTAAAACCCATTTTCATTCCTTTTCTGATGGAACTAGCAGAGATTTTTGCCGTAGCAGTTATTATACCATCTTGTATAAGGCAAAACAATCAGAGGAAGCCATCTTCACCTAAAAGCAGGGATTGTGTTTTCCTAAGCTCCTTGTTGATGCAAGGAGCTAGACAGGTTGCAGAGTGGCATGCACAGGTCCTAAGTGGATCTGATTCCCCTCTCTATCCCACCGGAAAACTCATGTGGCTCTTTCCTCCGATGATAGCAAGTGGCTTTGCGTTCTATGTGGACGCAAAAACATCTGCTGGCTCTGGTTCCTGTTCTGAAGCTGAAGCGGCAGTTTTCACATGAACAGAACCTCTTACACTGTAGAAGAGAGCCATTTGAGTTTTCCTGTGGGAAATTGAAGTGAAGCTTGAACCAAATACTCCATGTAATGCGATTCATTTTTATAAAGTATTAATTCAAGCTAGGACTGAGAGAAAAAGAAAGTCCTGGGCTTTGTCATCAAGTACTTTACTGTTTGGAAAAACCTAGTAATATTTTTTAATTTTTTTCCTACCACTATCTGATTTTTCTCTAATCTTTTGTGTGTTTCATAGGGAGGTGTTTAAAACCTATAATGTTGCTATGGACTACATTACACTTGCACTCATGATCTGGAATTTTGGTGTAGTAGGAATGATCTGCATCCATTGGAAGGGTCCTCTCCGGCTTCAGCAGGCCTATCTCATTATGATAAGTGCTCTGATGGCCTTGGTATTTATCAAATACCTTCCTGAATGGACTGCGTGGCTCATCTTGGCAGTAATTTCAGTGTATGGTAAGTATTTCAAGCCAAATATTTCCTGGAAACAACAGCAGTTTATTTCATGTTTCTTCATTCTCTGAGCCTCGAAGCTGAGGTTTTGGAGGTGGGCGTGAGCTTGTTTGTGATGTTAAAGCTAGAGTGCCAGCTGTGTCCCTTTGTTGAAACATTCCGTTTGGCTATAGTAACTCATGCCTTAGTTACAGTATGCAGATGACATCGAACTCTATCTCTCCTTTCTGTCTAATTCCAAGGAAGGTGCTTTGATTCTAAATCAATATCTGGTGTCAATAATGGACTGGATAAGAGTGAATAAACTGAAGTTTAATCCAGATGAAACAGATGTGCTCCTTATCAGTTGAAAAACAAATCAGAGAATGGGATTGCAGTCTGTGATGGATGCAATTACATTCCACCTGAAAACACAGGATTGCCATTTGGAGTGGACTCCTGATCTCATCCCTGAGCCTGAATGCCTAGGTCTCAGAGGTGGTCAGGAGACCATTTGCACAGTTAAAACTGGTATGTTAACTGCACTCATTCCTAGAGGTTTCAGGACTGGCTATAGTGACATATGTGTTAGTTATAGCGGTGATACCCCTAATCTGGAACCGTCTTTAGAAACTGATCCAAAACTTCAGTGAGTCCAAAATACCACTGCCAGATTGTTAATTTAAGATGGTTACAGGAATCACATAACTGCCCGGTTACAATACTCCCCGGCTGCTGGTTCCTTTCTAAGCCTAATTCAAAGTACTTGTTGTGACCTATAAAGCTTTATGTGGCTTCGATCCAGGCTATGTGAGAGACCATATCTCCCCATATAAACCTTCTTGGATTTTAGGATTATCCAGGGAGGCCCTTATTCTCAGTCCCATCACTTTTACAGGTATGTTTGACAGGGACCAAACAGCAGGCGTTCTCAGTGGCTGCCCCTAGGTTATGAAATGCCTTCCCCCATGAGGTTAGACTAGCCCTCTCTCCTCTCCCTTATTTCTTTTCTTTTCTTTATAGGCCACCTTTCTCCCTTTTCAGCTGAAAACATTTTTATTCCAACAGGCTTCTAGTATTTAATATCTCTTTTTAACATAGGTAGTTGCTACATGTTTGCAGCCAACATATCATTTAAAATGTTTTTAAATGTTTTATGTTTCTTACTTTGTTTTTGTAATGACAATTTTAATTATTCCTTATTTAATCATTTATAAATTGCTGTTTATGTGTTGTTTTGATGGATTTCTCTCTCTTTTTTATGATTTGTGAGCCACTTTGCATCCCACTGCAGGAGAAAGGCAGCACACAGTGGGTAGGGGATATTCAACAAATATCCCTGATTCATCAGAAATTATTTGCTTTGTATTCTTGGGGTCCAGAGACCCTGACAGATTCAAAATAACAAATATAATCCTTTTATATTAGTCTCTTCATCTGTCCCTATCTGCTTATGCCCCCTCAGATCAGCTGTTCCTTGGGGCATAAACAGAGAGGGTTTTTTCCCTTCAAGAGGCTTGCTAAAGTCTGCCCAAAGGGAATCCCACCCACATGTTTAAAAAATGGGGGATGTTTAAAATACAAGCAGGTTCTGGTATCCATAGAGGTCACTGAAGTATTGTTTAAAATGATGAGATTACAGAACGTTCTAAACTGATATGTAATTCTGGTTGCTGCACACTAAATCAAGGGGTTATCTTTACAATGGTGAGGGCTCATGTAGTCATTTGTCCATAGTCTGAAGAGGGGGCAGATCTGTGGAGTTTTCTTGGATATTTCCTTCTAAAGAAGCCCTGAACTATATACTAAATTTGCTTGCACTTTTTTCTTCAACACTCTGCTTAATCCACTATGGGCAAAGCTTACTATCAGAATCTAGCAGGGCATGCAGAATATTGCATAGCACTGTTAATTTTGACTTGAATCCAAAAGAATGTATGCCAACAAAACATCTGCATAGACATAGGACCTAATAATTTTTCCTTCCAGCCAGAGTCACTTGCACTGTTTTCATATACCCCACTGGGTTCCTTACCCTTATTAATGAATTTTTAGAGTTGATAGAGACCCTTCTTGCAGAGAGACTAAAAGAATTACAACACATAGGGAGGCTATCTCATAATTCCTGGATCCTAGTCCTCGAGAGTAAGAACTGGCCTGCTGACTGCTCTGTATGGTGTTTGACATAGCCATTCGTTGAAGTGACCTGTTTTATCAAGACAGTCTGGTCTGGATGTAATCCAGCCTTTTTTAGTACTTTAGATCAACTCATTCTAGTGAGAGGATTAGGCATTTGAATGGTCTGTATTTGATTTATAGGTTCCTTTGTGCCTTTTCTTTAGACAAGCAGAAGAGGAAGTTTTTTTATTCTTTTTATTTAAAAAAATCCCAGTAGCTCTCACATTCCAGGGTGGACATGAGAAAATTCACTTGTGCCAATCTGGGAATTGGTACCCAGCTCAGTAAATCATTTATTATAGCAGTGTCATTGCTTTTAAAATCCCTCCACATACACATGCCTTATTGAAACCTGACATTTTGAGAAATATAAAGTGGAGTAAGTCTCAGAAACTCAGCACTATGGAAACCACTTGCTTGTACATGTTTCAACTGAGTAGAAGAGAATGATACAATCAATCTTACCACTTGATTGGAATGTGTATGTACACTCCTTGTGGTGTAGGAATCAGGTTGGCTTCCTAAGAACTTTTTGTGAATGTGATTGGCCACAAACCAAATGATCTTGAGTCGTATTTTGGACTGAATAGTGACATATTCTTTCTGCAGCTTTAAGCCATGCATACCCTTCCCTTTTGTTTCTTAAGGCATTTTGTTTGGACTCTAATCCTTTTAGCACAGGGACACTGATTTCAGAACTAGTAAGAGTGATAGTGCTTCTGAAACTGGAGGTTCTGTTTAGCTGCTGTGGCTAACTCCTTAATCATGTCTTTTAGCCTTTATAATGTATATGTGTTCCTGTTAATTGCATTGAATCCAATACATTTTACTGTTGCATTTAATCTTTTATGTATGTGACTGACACAGAATACACCAAGTTTTTTCCTTTAGAAGAATTAACTTGTGTTCAGAACGTTGTTACATGAACTTTACATAGCAATGTAATTTACAGAATTTAGAAAAGTTATTTGGGGGGGGCTACAACTCCCAGACTTGCCCAGTAGCCATGCTGACTAGAGGATGTGAGGAGTTCAAGTCCAAAAAAGAGAGCAAGGTTTCCAATATCTGATGCTAACTTATGGGTTTAAGAATAGGTAATATATTCGATACCAGTTTTTCTGGAGAAAAGCAGATATTTCCGGTTTGTTTGTTGTAATTCCAATTTATATCTTGCAGATCTGGTTGCCGTATTGTGCCCCAAAGGGCCTCTTCGTATGCTCGTTGAAACTGCTCAAGAAAGAAATGAGACTTTGTTCCCAGCACTCATTTACTCATGTGAGTGCATAGAGTTGTGATTTGTAATCTGATGCCTGTTCCTGAAGGGAGGGAAATTAATGATTTGATTTTTTGTTGAAGTATGCAGTGTGTGTCATGTTTCCTCCCCTCACGTCTTTGCTTGCTCAGAAACCTGTATTATATAAGATATTCCCAAGATAAAAAGAACATTTTCTGCCATCTTAAATGTAAATGGAAGGAAAAAATAAATGGAAGGAGAGAAAAGAGTTTAATTTGGTCAGGGCAGTAGCAGACGTTTGGTTTTGGTACTGCCACGTTCTTCAAAGGATAGACAACTTGGTACCTTTCAAATGACTTGGTCCCTGCTCCCAAATGTTAAGGCCAGGGGAAGAAGAATACATCCTGGGGTGTTTGTGTTACTAAGGAAACTAGTTTGTTTTTGCTTGGTTCCCCCTAGCCCTAGGAACAAATTTTCATTCATTTACTATTTTCTATATCAAAATTGAAAATTTTGGGGAGCCTAGAAAAACCCTTCTGGTGAATTATTTTTCCTCTTCAGGATGAGTGAAATTATTTTAAAGTTTTTCTCATGGTTTGTGAATTCCTGTGCAGAGAGTGCAACACTTTCTTTAGAATATGATATATTTACTATTTCACATGCACAAAATGAAAGTTTTTATATTTTACTTATAAGGCTAAGTTACTAATGAAGCATTTTACATTGCTAAAGCAGTAAAATAAGGCTAGATTTTATATGAAAATAAATAGCATATATATTTCAGTTTTTTCTTTTAAAAATGGTTTTTTATTTTGTTTTAGAAAAGAAAGGGGTGGAAATGGTTTTCCCCATGGCTACAAATTTTAAATGTCTGTGCTTTGGGCTAAACCGCAAAGCCTCTGGGCTGCAAGGTCAAAAGATCATCAGTTTGAATAATGCGACGGAGTAAGCTCCCATCACTTGTCCCAGCTCCTGTCAACCTAGCAGTTCGAAAGCATGTAAAATTGCGAGTAGATAAATAGGTACCACCACGGTGGGAAGGTAACAGTGTCTAGTTGCGCTGGCCATGTTACCACGGATACTGTCTATGGACAAGCACTGGCTCTACATCTTGGAAACTGGGATGAGCACTGTCCCCTAGAGTTTGACATAACTGGATAATTTGTCAAGAGGAAACTTTACCTTTATTCTTATCATTGGGCATTGTACTTGGGGTTTATGGGGGATGTATTCCAGAACATGTGAAGAGCACAAAGTTTCCTATCTTAGCTTTACTGTGTGAATTTGTACTGGGTAGACAACACTTGCACATTGTACAGCACTTCTAAAGATATTCACCACTTTAAAACGTATGTTAAACTTTATACCTCCTGACCTCTGTGTAACTTTCTGAGACACAGTGTGTACTACCATATTTGCCGGCGTACAAGATGACTTTTTGGGCCCAAAAAACATGCCTCCAAGTGGGGGGTCGTCTTGTACGCTGGGTGCACTGAATGCCCCGGGGCTGCGCTGACAGGGGAGGAAGGCAGGCAGGCAGGCAGGCAGGCAGACAGGCAGTCGGTCTGTATGGAGGGAGGGAAGCACAGCCTGCCATGCCTGAGCGGCCAGAGCTCGCCGCCAGGCTGCCCGCCACCCCATGCCGCTGAGCCAGTTGCACACTCGCTCGCCTGCCACCCGCCCGTTTCCCTTTTCCTCCTCCTCCTCAGCCTCTTGCCTTCTTCCTCTCCCTCTCGCTGCCTAGCCAGCGCGCTCGCTTGCCCGCCACCCGCCCGTTTCCCTTTTCCTCCTCCTCCTCCTCCTCCTCCTCAGCCTCTTGCTCCTCGCCCTCTCGCTGCCATGCCTGAGCCACCGCCGGGCTGCCCGCTGCCCCGCGCCGCTGAGCCAGCCGCGCGCTCACTCACCCGCCAACCCCCTGTTTCCCCTCTTCCTCCTCCTCCTGTTGGGGGGTCGTCTTATACGGCCGGTTGCCTTGTGCGCTGGCAAATACGGTAACTGATCCATTCGGGCAAGGTAACCAGTTGGGCATTGAATGCAGATATTGTGGAATGAATAATGCTATGACTGGGGTAGAAGTAGAACTTGTAAACCTGTCTATTTGGGTTAGCATATGCCTTGTCAGTAGACTGGATTTCCTTCTATTAATTCACACTGTAAATTTTCCATATGCATACTGCACATTTCAACTGATTAAAAAATCTAAATATTGCCAATTTGTTATTTGACTTTTAATTATTCATTTCAAGTAGCAGTTAACCAGAGAATCTCTTATTTTTCCAATAGCAACAATGATATGGCTAGTGAACATGGCTGAGGGAGATCCTGAAGCCCAAAAGAGAGATAACAAAAGTTCCACTTACGATAAAGAAGGTGAGGTTTATTTATGCTTGTTTTGCTTTCTCTTTTTCTCAAACAGCTTTACAAAGCCTTTTTATGAGCAGCATCAGATTAACTCTCCAAAGCTTGTTAAAAAGCACTTTTACTAATCAAGTATTAGAATAAAATGTGTTCTATTTTTGTTATAATTTGAAAATGACAAGGGATCATATTTGATGGAGACACCAATTTAAAAAAACTAATATAAATTCCAAAAGATTGTTTCTCTTAGAACAGAATGTAACTCTGCTGTAGTCAAGAATGACCCGTGTTCTTTATTTTTATGAGGATTCATTGGCCTCATGATGCTCATGTCCCTTTTTCTGCTGCCCGGTATCTCCTGCAGACATAAGCAAAAAATACTGAATGGTACTTCTCCTTACTTTAAAAGTCACATCAGCATAAATAGCAAGTGATTTGTTATTTTGTTATTTTAATGAGACCCAGAAACTTAAACTGCAATGTAAAGAGAGCTGAAACGACACAAAGAAGTCAACCCCTTTACTGTATTCATTGATTGATTATAAAGTGAAACAGGTGGAGGAGAAAAGATCATCTTCTATATTTTTATAGTCTTCAGCTGTGAATGTCACAAAGGACTGGGATGACTAACACATGTTCAGTGAACCCAGCCTTTGTGAGGTGTACCATCTTTTTCCTTTCTTGATCTGTGAGGCCATGGCAAAAGATCTGATGCACCATAGCCAGCTAGCAATTGGTTTTCTCTCTCTTCATTCTGCCATCAGCCATCCATGGTGAATTGCACTTGATTTCTGTTTGCCAGTGAAGCACTTTCCTGTCTCCATCCCAATGGTCTTCTCCTGTGAACTGACTTGCGGACAAAGTCTGTGTGAATGATTTTCATTTAGGTTATACTTCCTTATGTTCTGAAATACAAAAATGCAAAAAGGCCAAATCATTTATCATGAGTAAATGTGTCTTAAAACATACTTAGGATAATTTTCAGATACCCACCAGCAGTATGTTTTCCAATATACCTTGATTTTCTCAAAGCTCAGGGAAACCTATTTTGTTTCTTCATCCATCCAGTATTGATTACATTATGCATTGTTGGAATCACTTGTCATTTAAGCTTGTTATATCAGTATGTTCCAGATTTCTTTGCTCTTTCAGTCACAGCAAATCAGAACCAAAATGCAGGTGCTGAGGCTGATGATGGAGGTTTCAATCAAGAATGGGAACAGCAACGCGATAATAGGATAGGGCCTCTGGAATCAACCCCTGAAACACGAGCTGCTGTTCAAGCACTCCCTACCAATTCCCTAGCAAGTGAGGACCCAGAGGAGAGTAAGTAGCAGTTGAAAATAAGCATGCATTACCTTCAGATCCAGCAAACATATAGGCCTCTTGCCATTTTCCAATACCTGTTTATCTACTTGTAGCCTTTCATTCAATGCAATATACTTTTCATATGATTATTTTCTAGTACTGAGAAAATAGTGCTACATTTGTATCTTTGTAAAAAAAACATAGTTGCCATTGTGAGAATGAAACATAGATGCTTTGGCCATTGCTACCTTCAAGACTACAAAGGAAGCGGTAATAGAAGTGTGGTATAGTGCAGTGGTCCCCAACTTTTTCTGAGTCACGGACCAGTTTGGGAGGGGTGGGGTGGGCTCGCACACATACGCAGAGGGGCGGAGCGCACTTGCGCACATGTGCGAAGGGGTGGGGTGCATGTGGAGGAGCAGGGCACACTTGTGGGTGGGCGGGGCACCCATGTGTGTGGGTGGCAGGCCATGCGTACAGGTGGGGGCGGGCAGGAGATCTGTCTCCGTAAAATAAAGAAACAAAGCATCAGGGACTAGATGTCTCATGGGTAACAGCCATGTGTGATATTAAGAGAAGCAAAGCCATCATTTTAACTTAAAAACTTTAAAAATTTTAAGGCACTGTTTGAGTCTTATTTAATGAAAGTACAGATGCCTTCTTGTTTTCTGTTAATTGAATGTTATATTTCTGAAAGTCTGACAAGGTGATAATTGTCATGTTACTGTAGATAACAGTGTATACACTGAACCATAAACATAGGTGTAATTGTAACCATGCACTATAATTAGAAATAAATCCTTTAAAAATTTTACTGAGAGTCTGGTAGGAGACATGGGGGCACTGGGTGTGGCTTTGTATGGAGGAAAACTATCATTTTAAGCCAAAACAGCAAACTCCAAGCAATAATCTGCCCTCTAGGCAAAAAGCTGCTTTTTCAGGTGGAAGGTTATAAGCAAATAAGGCTCACACTGAAAATCATTTACATACTGATTCCATTGGATTTACCAACATTATACACTTGGTTGTTGTGGGCTTTTCGGGCTTTTTGGCCTTGTTCTGAAGGCTGTTCTTCCTAATTTTTGCCAGTCTCTGTGGCCGGCATCTTCATCCTCTGAACGCGAAACGTTAGGAAGAACAGCCTTCAGAATATGGCCAAAGAGCCTGAAAAACCCACAATAACCATCAGATCCCGGCCGTGAAAGTCTTTGAGAATACATTATACACTTGATCACAATACTCACAAGATACAGAAATTATGTGAAAATATTTGTGGCAGCTTAAAATTTTATTATTTGTTTGTTTGTTTGTTTGTTTATACTCCACCTATCTGGTATACTCGACCACTCTAGGCGGCTTCCAGTATAGGATAAAACAATAAAACACAAGAACATTACATAATCATTTGATACAGTTACAATAAAATAAAGTGAGAATAAAATAAGAAGGAATAGAAAATATATTGTGCAGTGGGACACAATTAACCTGTAGTTGACTACATGGCCAGTGCTACTGTCCTTTCTGCTGATGAGAGGTGTGGGAAACTTGCCATATAGAGACTGTAATCTACCGCTCCAGTTTGGTGGTTCAGCCCAGTTTGGCTCTGCACCCTCGCAGGTCTTCTTAGGGTGCTGCACATTCCTCTTTCTGCACACTTTCCCATTCCCTGGGCAAAGTGCATTCCCCCCCTCCCCCAGCTTCCTCAGCGTGCTTGTCCACTCATATCTTGGCTCATTTACCAGATACTATTTTTGATTCTTTGCTAACTTAATCTAGTTCAAATCCTGGAACTTTGATGTGTTTTTTCAGGTTTGTTCAATCACATCTGTTTGATACAAAAAATCAAAATGTTAGAATAATGATGTAAAATAGAGACACACTTTGTAATTGAGCGCAGAAAAGTCAGGTCCTTTTTACTGCTCCATTTGATCCTTGGGTCACAACTAACTTAAATTATTGCAGTTGGTAGCTTTAATTTCATGGTTGAGCAATGGAACAAGTAAACATTTTTTGTCCTCTTTTTCTTTTGCAGGGGGTGTTAAGCTTGGCTTAGGAGACTTCATTTTTTACAGTGTTCTAGTTGGCAAAGCTTCAGCAACAGCCAGTGGAGACTGGAACACAACTTTAGCCTGCTTTGTAGCCATTCTAATTGTGAGTATAATAACTGAGTATTTATAGTAATTTCCTACTGTATTGCTTAGTGTCAAAGCAAAATGATTGCTAGTGAATCATGGAATTCTAGAGACCTGACCTTGGAACACTATTCCACTCTTCTTTTCTTTTTTACAATCTGTTTTATCGCTTCAGTATCATTATTATCTCATATAGGTACTTTCTGCAGTCATCAGTTTTTTCATTTGTGCCATATATGTGCTCTCTCCTCCCGTAAAAATCAGCGGACAAGGTTTAATGCCAGACATACCCCGTGTTGTTCTGATATTCTCAGTTGTCAGCAAATTATGTCTATTTTCTATGGATTGATGGGCACACTCTGTTCCAACTAACATGGAAAGCCCCCATGGATTGTGGAGGCTTTCCTCTTCAAACTTGTCAATCTCTATGTCTGAAAACTGATGAAACTGGAAATGTGGGGGGGGAGGAGTGGGGATGAAACACTCAACTCCACCTGTAGTAAGTATACATAATCTGATATTGACTGAATAGTGGTATTAACATATTAGGAAAGTGATTCTTTCCCACCTCACAGAAAACACATGGTTGTGTTAGAGTTATGAAACACAGAATTAATTTGTGTGCCTAGTTGTTGCAGGAAACAGTCTTACAATGGATCATTGTAAAATACCAAACAACTGAATTGGTCAGGCTCCTTTATACTGTCAGAAGTATCCAAAAGGGGCTTCCTAGAGGAAGTAACTGAGAAAAAAATCACAGGGATTTATTAATCTCATCTAAAATCCTCTCATGGTTAAACTGCAGTACTGCGGCCAAAACTCTGCTCACAACCTGGGTTCAATCCCAGGTAGCCAGCTCAAGGTTAACTCAGCTTTCCATTTTTCTGAGGTCAGCAAATTGAGTACTGAGCTTGCTGGGGGCAGGGGCAATGGGTAGCCTGCATAATTCAATTGTAAACCGTGAGTGTTATGGGGCAGTATTATAAGCAGCACACTTTTTTTGCTTCATGATAGAGCAGTGCTTCAGACAACTGTTTTCAAGAAATATGCCTTTTCTTACTTATCTAAACCTCTGGTTTGAAAGTCGATCCATAGCCATTAAAATCCTCAATATGACACTGAGTGGAAAGAATTGCAGAGTAGCAGCAGAAATCTGATCAACATATTCAGATATCCAGTGTTATTTAATACATTGTAATAAGGTAAAAATTTAAAATACTGTACTGTATTAAGAAATAAATAGAGAGTGGACATCTAGGTTATTTTAATGTCAGGAAACTAGATGTCATTTAGCTTGGCAGTCAGGAAAAGATGTGTCTGCCAAATCCTCTCATGCAAAAATAAATAAATAAATAAAGTGTCTACTGTGTTCATGTACCCATTATTTCTACCCGTCTCCTACTCTTTCAAAACAGGAGTAAATTACTGCATTAAATAAGAAGGGAAGAAAATGCAGAGATCCTTCCCTGTTCTTCAATTGCCAAAATGTACAATACAGTTGAAGAGAGTAGAAACGGACATTGTTGTTCCATTTTGCTTACCAATAATATGGTGTCTCAGCACTCATTAGCAAAAACTCATTGCTTGAATATAATGCTGTTTAATTTTAAATGAGAGCCATAAACTCAAAAGAAGAGACTGAAATTATTCTGAGCAGATTAGACCCTTTCATGATTCCACCACTGCCTGACACTTTTGAGTCTCTTCCTTTCCCCAGCTGTTCTGAAGCGATTAGTTTATCTGATAAAAAATACTAATGCATCTAGCTAGTGTCTGGATATCAGTCTGTGTATGACGCTGGGCAGGCAGTTTCTATCTGCTTGGTGAGAAGAGGTTTTCCTGTTTGTCCCTTCTCAGGCTTTACAGGTTAGCTGACAATGCTGTCTCCTCACCAGGCTTCCTCCATTATCAGATACCAGGGATGGAGGGAAAACCTTTTCCTAGCCAGATGAAGCTATGGTTTGTTGTTGTTGTTGTGTGGTGTTTTTGTTTTTGTTTTTTTGTTTTTTTGTGGTTTTTTTGCATCTTTAGCACATATCACTATTCTGGTAATCTCACCACTTTCCATTTGAGAACAGCCCTAGAGGTGGCAGTGATAAAAGTTCAGCACGTAATCTATTTACAGCATCTGTTTACAGAAAATGTCTAATGGCAGTTTGTCCACATCAGATTGTCCCAGTTTTTGAATCCACAGGATAAAGTGATCATTCCTTTGAGGATTAGCATATAATGAGACTCCATACAATTCAAGTCGTTTTTCACGGAAGCAGCAAAGCATAACCTGTAATAGTTTGTGTTAAGAGTTCTATCATCTAATTTCTATTTACCTTTTTGTCTCCCATTTTCCCCCTAGGGCCTGTGCCTTACCCTCTTGTTGCTTGCCATTTTTAAGAAGGCCTTACCAGCTCTTCCAATCTCTGTAACCTTCGGGCTTGTTTTCTATTTTGCCACAGATAACTTGGTGCAGCCTTTTATGGACCAGTTAGCATCCCATCAGTTTTATATCTAGCACACTGCTGAGTTGCCCACCTCTGAACATTTGTATCATCTGTAGCAAATACAGGAGGGGGAAATGATTTCCCTTCCATTTCTTAAAACAGCCACTGTGCTGGGCACTAATGGATTCTTGTCTATAAAAATAATCTTTTAACAAATGAGTTACAGGACTCCTCAGCAATCAGACATACATCTTCAAAAGGACCATATGTATAAAAGATACCTGTGCTTTCACCAGCAACATAACTGCTCAGCAGACTGACTGCACCTTCATCCTGCTGTTCAAGACTGCGAAGGGAGAAGTTAAAGGAAAGTGGAAGGGTAAATCAAACTAAGTGATCTGAATGGCTGAAGAGTCAGCCTGGCTCCAGAACATCCATTGTCAGGATTTCTCATCCTGATTGCACTGTGTGTGAGTTACCAGGAGAGCAACAACTGGCTTGTGAATTAGAAGATTTTGTATTATCTAAAAAAAAAAACACATGCAAATTATTCTACATGCTTTATGTTAAATCTGAAAAATTCATGTCAAGCTGGCACAATAAATTTCTAGAATTCTTCAGCAGAGGATGCATACTTCCTGATTCTGCTGCCAATATTTCTTGGATTCAATTTGCATAAGATCAGAGTTTGGGACCCTTGATTTCAGTAGATTTTCACTTATTATATAAACAGTTTCCAAATTTCAGTTCTTTCATCCAAAATTTGCAAAATATTATTTTGGAATTATATTGTCTATAATATATTCAAATATGATTAGACACTTAAAGCTGCAGCATAGTGGCTGAAATTCTGTTGAAAGGTAGACAGTATCTTTCAGTGCCTTCTATTGATCAATTAATGAGTCTCCGTTGAGGTTCTCAAGAGTACACTTAAGCCAATGGACATGTGTGGCATCGAGGATCCCAGCAGCAGCTCGTTAACTGCCAGCTAGAAGCAACTGTGAAACCAAATGTTAGAATTTCGGCTTGTAAGATATACTTCAACCAAAAAATTTTCTTTCATTTCTTTTTCTTTTTCCAAGTGGTGATTGTTTAAATTCATCTTTTATTCTCATATAATTGTTGGCATTTCTTTGAGCTATTATGTAAAATATTGTATCTTGTATCATAAGACAGAAAAGAACTATTTTGTAAGGCTGAAGGCCATGTAAAATTTATTCCCACAGGACTGCTGTGGAGCATTCCTCTTGAAAACATACAGATAAAAAATATTATATCAATATGGATTTTTAGGCATGGTTGATAACCAAAATACCAGGTTCTTGCTTGCAGGATCATTTCAGAAAAGAAATGTTATAATATCCCATTCTTAATGAACATTTAAAATTTATATTTTCCATTGGGAAACATTCCAGAAAAACTCAGATGGGAGTTTATGTTATATCAGTAAAAGGCCTCCATCATATAATACTCTATTGGCTGTGTTGCTGTTCCTTGACTGCCTTGAATGACACCTGCCCCAAGCTAGAATCTAGAAATTAGAACATTTTTATTAAAATAAAATATACTTGCCTAACTAATCCTGTACCACTGAATGACTGACAGTTACCTATTGAGTTCTCTTTGGATAAGCATTAATAAAATGAAAAATCTGTTGTGTCTGTCAGTCTGAAACGTTGTGAGCTATTGGTGTAAATAGTAGATTTTTGTTTCCAGTTAGTAGTTAAGGAAAGGGATCTAGGTTGAACCTTTGGATGTTGTTGTTTTATTTGTAATGTCATTATTTCTCACTTGAGCATTCATCTTGGGGAGGGGAAAAGTCAATAAAAAGACGCTAGAATATCATTGCCAAAGCCTCATACTACTGTTTGTAGTTTATCCTTTAGAGCCACGACCTAGTTTTCTGAGTTATTAGCAGTACACATCATTTAAAATGTGATATGCTATCTGGAGAAATTGTCCCAGAAGCAAACAGAAGCCTTTCCATGAATTGAGGGTGTCTTTAGAAACTTGTTTAAAATAAATTCACTGTACTAGTCTTCCACTTTCTTCAAATTATTGTAACAAGCGGCTTACGCCTTTGGTTTTGTCATGTGGCCCTACCTGAGGTCCGAAGTATACAGGATTACAAGGAAGATTTTTCTAGACCAAAACTGTTCAAATTTCTCTGCTTTATTTGGCCATCAAGTTAGAAGATCAGTTGTTTTTGACTAATGCTTTGAACACAAGATTTAGATGAAGTAAACCTAGCACTCAATTTGGATCTCAATCATCTAAGAAGTAAAAGATGAGGAATAGTCTGAAACATAAGTACACCATTTTGTATCTTGTAAACTGCTAGACCAGATTTAACCACAGCAATACGATTCAAGACTCAAATGAAAGAGGTTGGAGGGTGATAGTCAGAATCAGAATTTGGGCACAAAAACTGTATTAGCCTAATCTTCCTCCTGGAAACTAGTTTAATTATTGGAATTGTTTTAGGAGAAAAACCAGATGATTAATTTAGTCAAATCCTCTTGAATATATTAGATTTCAGTATCCTTCAAATGGCAACAATCCTATAGTATCATTGGCTAAATATTCACACATTTTGTTAAACAGACTTGACAAAATTGGTTGCTTCTTCAGTAATTATGTTGTCTGATAAGCTCTCTTATTTTCAGCTTTGCACAAATGGTTATGGACTGCTGAAATTTTTAGAAATTTGAAATGTCATATTAGGCATTATAGGAATATTGTGGAAATGTATTTTTCTCTCCTTATTGAAATTTATTGCAGACAGATCTATTCCACCCAGGTTTCTACCAAACCATTAAGGGCTGTAGTAAGCTGAAATAGCTGAATCTTTCTTAAATTATAAAGTATACCTTTGGTTCACAAGATCTTAGATTTTCTCCTTATACACAACACATCTCTGATGCAGCTAGACTAATATTAGGGGAGTGTATTAGAAGCAAATTTGGAGTTCATTGGAAGTGAGTGTTGAGCTATAGAAAAGCTTTACTGGTAAATTATTTTGGCAGCTATGTACGAAGACCATTAACAAGAAATGTACAGTACTTGGATCTATACTATGGTACGAATCTTGTCTCATGGTATTTATCTGCTAATGGGAATACTGGAAATAGAGTAGAAATGGATTTTGACTCAAGCATTTTATTTTGTGTTTTTCAAACACTGGTTTGTACATAATCTGAAGTAAATGTGAATAAGCTTTTTAAAAACTTTTCAATTAAAATATAATTTTGATAGGTTATTGCAATTTTCCCTGTATTTATCAAATTATTAAAAATAAATGATGCATGAATCTTATGAGTGTGTCTCTCGTGATTTATGCGAAATACTTGCAGAACTGTACATAAATCCCGAATGAATTAAAAACAAGTGCACCTCATCCAAAAACTATATATATATATACGTATTACCCTGATATCTTTGTAGTAACGAAGAAGAATGTTACTAAAGTCCAGATGGTTCAATGGAAGTTAGGTAGGAGTAATTTGATTAAAATAAATTGAGGCCAACAGATATGGAAAATTGTGGTTACACTGTTGACCATCCTCAATAAGATCTTTGGCTTGTTTGCCCAGAGGTCACTTTTAACTGATATGTTTGTTTTTTATCTCTTGACTGGAAAATGAATTAATTTAGGAAAATACCCAGAATGTAGACAAAGGCAAAAACAAAATTCTGCTCATTATTAGACTAGTACTATGGTTACACCTTGTATAATATTCACATTTCACCTGGTTTTAAACTTAATATTGTTACCTATGACCATTAAATTCCTATAGAATTATGGAATTCCTTCTGAGGAACTTCCAATCTGAAAGTTATGTTTTGTACACAGTTGGGTAACTTCTGCTTCTTCTTGTCTATTTATTATTCCCAATTCCTCCTGCATGTCACTCCCCATTTGTTATTTATTTATTTAAAATATTTCTATCCCACCTTTCTTCTTAAAAAGGACCCAAGGCAGTTTACATTGTTAAAATACAATTTTTAAAAGCTAAAAACAGTAAGTATACAAATGACTCAAATACCACATTGAAAATGGTAAACAAAATCAGTACCAACAACCAGATGCAAAGCAACAAGGCACAATGCTCAACTTAAAAAACCTTCCCAGAGAGCTAACCTCAAGGGAAAGCCGACCTGAATAGAAAGGTCTTTGCCTCCATGTGGAAGGACAGCAAAGAAGGAGCTAGGCTAGCCTTTTGTGGGAGGGAGTTCCAAAGTCTGGGAGCAGCAACAGAGAAGATTCTCTCTCCCATGTCCTGACCAAGCACACTCGTTGGGACTGGGAGAAAGGCCTTCCCTGATGATCTTAATACATAAGCTTTCTAAGTGCCTTTGCAGGGCTCACATTTTTAATTCTGCCAGACGGGAGGATGTGTGCACAGGTCTGCGCCTCTTTGTTTGACGAACTGGATTATAATATCCAATCCATAGCTACCTCAGCTGTCTTTAAAACAACTACTCGAATGCAACCTACACCTTTCCAGACTTACATCTAAGAATAAGTTGTCTTGTAAAATCCATCTTCCCATTGACTTTTGGACTTTAAAGTTATTTATAAGCCTGATAAAGTGGACAGCTCTGATCCATGAAAGCTAGCAGATTGTATGATTTATTTTTAGTGGTCTATAAAGGTATTGCCTACTCTTGCATTTGCATATGTGTGTGTTGCAGCAGGGATGGGACCAGATGTAGCCCATGGGGGTTGCGCCTCCTGCATGCAAGCTTAGAAACGGTTGCATAAAATAATCATAGAAAAGTGAAGTTGGAAGGGGCCTACAAGGCTATCAAGTCCAACTCCCTGCTCAGCACAGGAATACAATCAGCATATCTGCCAGGTGATTAAGTTCTTTTTAAATGCTCCCAGTGTTGGGGCACTCACCAACTCCCGAAGTAATTGGTTCCACTGTCGTACTGCTCTAACAGTTGCTGTGCTATCTTGCTGTGGTTTGCAGACCCAGGAAGCTGTTGCATGAAATTAAGTAACAAGACTCCTGAAAAGTTTCATGGTTCAGCCCTTATCAGAATGCAATCTGTAGGTATAGCATAAAGCTTCATGGTGCACACAATTAACAATCTGATTGCAGAGATGTTTTAACAGTCCATGTCTCAGTGGACACATTTCTCAAACTACTACTTAAAAAAAAAAACCAAAAGCTTCTTTTCAGATTTATTTAGATACCCTCTCAAAACTAATTATTTTGAAATCACAATTCAGGAATGGAAAATGCTATATAAAAATACTAGAAAGCAACTGATATTCTACAACACAAATAGCCTTATTATGACAAAAATTATATAGGTCATTCAGGGAGCAAAAATACTATACAAGCAGTTTTGAAATAAAAAATGTATGTTTACAATATCCGAGTGGCAAATATGGGGAAAGTGATCTGTTCTTCATACAGGTGCATGCTATGTGTTGAGTGGTTTGAGACTGGAATAAATTAGTCCCTCTCGCACAGGTGTTGATCAGCACAAAAGTATTGAATAACATAATTTGAGATGACCTATCTTCCAAGACCAAAATGCAGATGATACTTTGATTAGGTCCAACAAAAAAGGCCCCAGAGTGCTAAATTTAGAGAACGCTATTTTTTTCATCAGGCAAGATGCTGAAAGCAAACATAGGTGGCAACACTGGCTCCTACTGTCTGCATGTTGTTTTTGCATGCAGAGACACATGGAAGTTGCAAAGAGAATAAAGCGCTGTCCTCCAGTGATACAGTGTTTTTTAAATTTCTTTTGGGGTTAGATCATAGGCTTGCTGGGAGTTGGAAAATTAGAAAGTTTTGGCCTTCTATTTTAGACACAATCATTCCACACAGTGAACTCTGTTTTTTGTATCCATCTTGTCTGGCATGCAAGAGATACCAGACAACCTTTGTTTATTTATTTAAAATATTTTCCTTCTGCATTTCTCCTTAAAAAGAACTCAAAGTGGCTTACATCACCTAAAAAAACACAATATCTAAAAGCTAAAAACAGTAGGTATAAAATATTTTTTGAAGAATTAAACAAGTGTTACAGTAATAAAATCAACACTAAAACACATTTAAAATAAAAGAGCACAACAATCCATTAAAAAACCCCTCAGACCATCAGTCATTAAGGTTAGGCCTGCTTGAAGAGAAAGGTATTTGCTTTTGGAAGGACAGCAATGATGATACCAGACAGGCCTCCTGTGGGAGGGAGTTCCAGAGTCTGGGAGCAGCAACAGAGAAGGCCCTCTCCCATGTCCCCATCAATCGCACCTGTGAGGGTGGCGGGACTGAAAGAAAGGCCTTCCCTGGTGATCTTAAAGCCCAGACGGGCTCATAGAGGGAGATAATGGTCTTTAAGATAGCTTGGACCAAAGCCATGTAGGGCTTTATAAGTTAAGACCAGCACTTTGAATTGTGCCCAGATATGCCAGGAAATGGATCTTTAGAGTGTTAATGCTGGAGTTAATTTTAAATGATGGATTAGGCAAAGGAAGCCAGCGTAGCCACATTGGTAGCTCCTACACTATTTTGCTTGATTATGTCCACATTCTGTTGGTATGACCGTCAGCATTTTTCCCACTGCTAAATAGCTAAATAAGGTGTTCACAAAGTTGCAAACAGAAGTGCATTCTTTAATCCCGCACTCCATATCTGAGCAATTTTGGCCTTAAACAAGGAAGTTCGGGATGGAGTTTGGTGGCCCTGAGAGCAGCTCTTATTCAGTCCTGAAACCAAACAGGAATCTGGATTCTTCTGCCATCACCATATATGCAAATACTTATTCAAAGCTCAGTATTTCAGGTTGTTAGAATAACAGGCCACTGGAAGAGGGCTTTGTAT